TGCCCCATCGCAGATGTGTTTCTGCGAAAACATCATATGAAAGGTGAGCCCTCCTTGACCATTCATACGTTCCAACTCCTTCCAAACCGTATGATAGATGCCATATCATGGGGCAGCCTCGGCCACATGGCCCGTTCCACAAACATGTCGACCAGTAGTATTCAATCGACCGACGTTCCAGTTGGTCGATGTCATATGTTGTAGGTGATCCTTGGCATGAGATTGATATTCCGTTGACGGTCATCCATGGGTAAAAACAATAGATTCGAAAAGGAGAAATTGCGTTCATTTGCGACGTCAAATTGGAGGACAACAATGTCAACAATGCAGATGAGCTTTGACTTTGGTGGATTTTGAGCTCCGTTCCCTAATCATGGGTAAATAACGTCGATATTGTGAAATGACTCGATACTTACATTGTGCATCCTGACCCACAGAATGCTTTTCGTCGAATCTTCTCTGTCTGGATTGACCTCTCCAGTCTCTCTGTCCACGAAACCATGACTGTCGCACCATGCAACCCACTCAGTCATTGTACCGGATGGTGTCATGATGTCGATATCTTCAGGGGGATAATCAATGAAAAAGCCAGGTTCTATGACGGCCAAAGCTACTGATCCCCCTATAAGCCCATGAACACTCTCCAATATCTCGAATAACGAATCCATGACTCCGTCGTCCATGAAAGCGCGGATTACGCTCCTGACACGAGTGCTAACGACAGAGCGACAGCTTTCCGCAAAAACAGAGTTTATGTGACTGAGCCGAACAAGTTTCGAAAGGGATGGTTCATCGCTAGTAGCCTGCTCGATGATACAAGAGACTATGTCTGCTGGCAACTGCTCGGGTATTGACATTGTAACCAAAGTAAGCAGAGATGGCACAGTTTGTTATTATTCTTTCCCTTTCCTCATGTGACAATATATATATCAGGACACGCCGGAATGTGAACCTACCTTCACACCATCATGTCCTCTGGTTTTTATGTGACCAGAAACAATGTGATAAAGAATCGCGCCGCCATAGTAAGCTTCAATCTGTCTATGTAGAAGTAAACTAAGCTTTGTGCAGTTCCACGCTCGCACGTACTGGGGATTGCTGTACGAAACAGACTTTAACACGCCACAATTGGTGCGCGTTCCCCTTTACCTAGGAAAAACGAGCGCCAAGAGCTTGGACGACTTGGACACGGACATCTGGATTCGCAGTGGTTCCTTCTTCACTCAATGCATCGACTTGGACGAAAATCGTTTACATGTAGGCCCCTCCAAGGGCGGTAGGCCATACCGTCTTCGTCCTCCTCTCACCATCTACTATTCCAAACGTGTAAGTAATTTTTTTTTGTCACTTTTTTGTACATCCCTGATCCAACCTCTTCTAGCCACCTCCGCCAACATATGCCAGGCACTTCAATAGGGCAATCAAACGCATTTCTGGTAATACAATCGACAAATGGCACGGTAACGTCTTGGTAGTATGTCACGGCAAACGAAGCGCCGTGGCAGGTGTTCAAATGAAGGATGTCTCTTACATCAACAAACGCATCGTTCGGTACGTATGCCGGTCCTTCATCTATGCATTAATAAATTTCTCAAGCAGGTTGATAACCGATGGTACGCTTTCTCAAATCCCGTAATAAGCACTACCCTCCCAGTTAGGAAAATCTAGTTACCGGATTGTTATATATACAAATTCACCTGTTCTCGAGCGCTAATCATGTCCAAGTGGATTGCCATTCGTATTGCGCGAAAACACAAGAACTTCTTGTCTCGAGATAGTCGTATGTTATGTTACTAGCTTGATTCAAGACCACTCATAACCGTAACCCTAGAAATTGTGTCAAATCATGTTGTATGCCTCCAAATCGCGACTTCTCTTTTTCCGCTTTACTTAACATGATAAAGATAACAGGTGTGGCGGCAAACCTGATTATGGGACTAACTATACATTCAAACGTCCAACAAACACCTCAAATCACTTTGGATAGTCATCTTCCAACGTGGAATGAATTGGATTAGGACTATTATGTATTCCACGTATGGCGTATTGTTCTACCCTTTTTCAATCTCCGACTGCGAAATAAATAGTGATTCTCAAGTTTCTGGCATCGCAGCTTCCCACCTAACACTTCGTTTCCTATCAAGAAATTATTGTAAGTACCGCCACGCATGACCTTTTTGTTTTCTTATTGAGAAGCCCACAGACAATGGCATTCAGTGACCCTGCCGTACGCAACCGTTTAATCCATACAGCTCAATACTGCGCGAGTCCAAACTGGAATTCCAGAGTAGGATGGGCCAACTCAAAATCTGGTCAAATCTTGGTCGATGCCAAAAGTGGAGACGAAATGTTCTGCATCGTAGTGGGCACGGTCTCCGAAACACGATTCAAGATGGGGCCCATTGGAAACTACAACCCCGAATTCAACAAGCTCAAGGATGCCAAATACACTTTCGGTTTGGACGAACCAACAAATCCTGATTTCAGACCCGACTGGGCCACCGCTGTCAAAGCCTTAGAGAACGCTGAGAATCTCATACAAGGGACTAAAGATCATCGACACTTTATTGAGAAAATTGGCAATCTCAGGTCGCTGCGACTGAGCGCTCGTGTTCTCCAAGAAAAGGTATGGTTCAATTACAATTATCAACTCAATGATCTAACCGCAAATCACAGGATCCCGGAGTATCAGGTAAATGTGTTTGATATTATTGTCCCCGCCATTGACATTTTTCATAGATGAAATTAAACTATCACATTGGCCTGCGCCGCCAGAGTATCATGACGCTCTAGCCGACTTGGAAGACACGCACACTGTTGCGCCACTCATGGCTTACAACGAAAAAGAATCTCAAATTTTGCCTGAGGAATTGCCATCCGTTCTCAAAGGAACTCTTGTCGAAGTAACCTTCACCCTCCGCCATTATCGTATCAAGAATGCTACGCAAGACAGCCATACATACACTGGAACAATCGAACAGATCATCATCTTAGAACGCGCACCTCCCAAGAAGATCAGTCCTTACCGTAAAGGAAGTGGACCGATCCGCATCCGACCTTCAAATGTTCCCTCTCGGGAAGAACAAGCAGCCGCAGTTCGCGCGTTCTCGTGGTCAAGACCTACCATTCGCGATCCGCTTCCAGTCATGCAAACCGCTGGCTCCTCAGTCAATCTGACAGCAGACGATGCCTCCCAATCTTTTCATAACGTTCAGGGACCTGAACTCGAAGCTTCCAACATTCCGGTTGCGGTCGCAGACGGTCACATTCCATCTTCCGGTATTACCATTTCTCCAACTCCAGCCCTCGATCAAACGGCCCCACTTTCACCAACTACTTTCCCCACTGTGCCACCTTCAGCTGCAGTGGCCGCATCCTCGATGACGTCAAGTGCGCCCCCCCTTGAGAACCATGATACATTGTCACCGACCACCAACCCTATACCACCTTCAGGTACCTCAGAGACTCAGAACATACGGGCCCGCCAAACACTTATCATTCCTTCCTTAAAAGCTTTAGGGAAACGAAAAGCGGATGAAGCTATTGACGATGAAAGGCCAACCAAGAAATCCTCCAAATAAGGTATAACATCTTTAATCTTGTGATCTTGACGAATTGCATCTAACCATATCTCAGGAGAGACATCATATCCTTGAATTTTACACGGCGGTTTCCAAGATCATGATTGTTACATCTCCATTTCGTCAGCAACGGCTTTGGTTTATCCTTTTATGCATATCTCTCACCTCTTGACGAATTCTTAAACACCGCGATTATTCGTGCCTAAGGAAACTTAGGCCTTCCTCCATATGTATTATTTTTTTGCCATGCCTTCCACGTTTCCTTTTCAGTATGTCTCTATTGCTCTTCTGCACTTGCCTCGGATTTACGCATCGCATTCACGAGGTCATGCTCAATTCAATATGTGGCTAGTACCAGGAACTGCGTAATGGCGTGTATTGATATGACGTATGACATTTATTGTAATCTTTGTAACAACATAGTCTCAGTATATTTACCGTAACATAAAAGACAACTAAATTTTGAGCTCCAGTTTCTGATATCCGCGTTGAAAATTTTGGCATAACTACAAACGTACGCTTTCCAGCAATTAATCATATTCAAAGCTAACTGTTTAATAGAATGAGTAGTTCTCTTTCATGCAATAATTCGTCGGATCGCCAAGTATTTCAAGTGCTCTACTGGTAAAACCTAACTCACCTTTGATCAAGGTTGCGCTAGGCATTTCAAAACCCAGCTTGTACACACAACGCCGGTTTCTTGCTTACGGCAAACAGTTGTTCGTCACTGAATACGATCCTATTTCCAACACCTATCAAACTCCTACTTTTGAATACCAACTTCGAGCTACAACTCACCTGCATGTAGTGCGATGGTTCTGATGCGCTGGGATAAAGTAATTTAGCCAATCTGTCGACTTGTATAAAATAACCACGGATCCTTTAAGCCACGTACATCTTCCAAAAAAAAAACATTTCTCTGCCCCGCTGTACCTCTCACCCTTGAGCAGCAGTACCCTACAGAATATGTAGATTTCCGCCTTGATCTAAACATCGTCGCACTCCATACTCGTAACGCCGAAAAAAGGTTAGTATTGACCATTACCTTACATGCAACACATTGAACTGGCCTTCTTGTTCACGTTTTTAGGGTTCTGCACCTGTTATCATGCGTATCTGTGAACCCAAGACAAATGCTACTTATCTTTGTGTCTGACAAAATCATCGTACATGGAGCCAAATCAGAAGACGATTCACGCTTTGCATCCCTTAAATATGTGAGTGCTAAGGCTTGGTCTGGACGGACGAAAATTTCTCCAAGTTCAACCTACAGAACATCATCCGTAATTGACATCAAGTTACCCAATCGCCTGGATAGCTTGACTCATAGTCACGGACAGTTCAGCTGTTATAAACTCTCTCGCATTATATAAACTCTCTCGCACTCTATAAACTCATCGTTCACCACAACGCCCCAAAATGAGGACAAAACTGTTTTTGAGGAACAACGTATTGACCAAATCTCCTCGTCGCAACGATGAAATCGAACACGTCCTATGCAACATCGGTAAAGTCAAGAAGGAGGTCGATGATGTTTTCGGCGACCATGAATGGGCCATTGTAATCTAGTGAGTTCATAGCCGTCGTTTCGGAATCCATACTTATCACCTTTTAGCAATGGACTTCATAATTCGAGGAACGTTGGTCGCCACTCGACAGTTTTCGCCTTCGTGCAAGGCGGCCAAAACCTTTTTTTGCAATGCTGGGCCGTGCACATCTTCGAAAATGGACGCACTGATTATTTCTTCGACCCGAGCCGCGAACTCCTACGTCAACAGATGACGCCCGTTAGCAGTAAGTTCTTCATTTGAATCCCTTACTGAGATTGGACTCGATATCACCATAGTAATCTTCGCCAACGGTTTCGTCGCGCACACGGTGACCTTCAAAAGGGATGGGAGGATTACGGTGGAGTAAAAGATCGCTAAATAGTATAGACGTGAAAACTTGCAGATATACCCCTAGACACAGAGCAAATTAAATGCGTAATTCATCTATATCTATGTGCAGGTTACAAGGCATAACCTAGCCCACTTAAAATTAGCTACGCTCAGTTGATCTCGATCCGCATTTAGCACCCGATCTTTTTCAGTCACCATCGTTCTCCGTCCAAGCCTTTAATATTGAGTCGCTGTCGTCTTGAGCCTCGGCCACAGTTGGAGGCAGTGGTATAAGTACATCATATCCCATGAAGCTCTGCACGTCCTCACCCGACGAAATGTTAGCTTAGTAAGAAGAAATCTGATCCTGGACTTGATGGCTGTGTGGATTCCCCTAGAGCAACACAGAGCGATGCTGATCATCTGCACTCATTTTTTTTGTGCCTAAATTCAGAATTTTAATGCGATTTAACTACAAAATAAATCCAACCCATAAAATCCAAGCAAGGGTTTTGTTGACATTGGAACAATGTCAAACTCTAGTTCTGATTGGAAATCAGTAATATACAATCTACTAAAGGTGGGAAGAGGAGGGGGGTCAAAAGGACAGGGTTCATTGAGGGTCCATGGGGGTGGGAAGACCCTGAATTGCCATTTTAGGTACAGTCATCCACCCACCAATGATATGCCACCATCATTTGATGCACTTTTGACCAACTAATATCTCACTCAATACTACATCAATCTTTGTGAAATAAATTGCAACGTGCACTACAAGCTCACATCTACCGTAGTACAAAATTTGGGAACAATTGAAGCAGTATTGGTGCTGCTGTGAAGTTTTCAAAACAGACTGTTTTTGGAAATTGCTGCAATACAGTCACACCACCCAATGATACACCCATAATTTTGACTTTTCTTCCTGACCTGTGGTTCAAACATTCTGAAATTTGGTAGGGTTATAGAATGTAATTTATCTCAGATATTTATGTAGTTTTTATGGCTGAATGTTGTACTTCAAATTGTTGGACGCAATTTCTCAGTTTCGGCGTAGTCTCCTGTAGGCAACTCCTATGATGATGGTGATGACAGTCGATCTCCCTCATATGGAGTCTGCTTTTAGTCACGCCCATCAAACCGTAGTAAAATAAATTGATCACGTGTTGTTCCCACGACCACGTCATATTCACTAATTAGTGATGCTTTCAACGCGATATTGAGGAGAGCAGACGCGTTCTATGTCTCAAAACCCTCAAAGAACCCTTACATAAAATTCAACAGTACTTCTGGAAGGAGGATATGCTGCCAAATCATTGGTCCACTCAAGTGTCTCTTGCAGAAAAGCGAAAAAGCATCAAGTTTGCGGCATCTGGGTCGCTGACCTCGTCCTCCCAGGTACCCACATCAGGTAGAGGGTTTGACGTGGTCGAGTCTGACAATAGAGGCAAACTTTGTTGTCGACAGGCCCAAACTCTGTTGTTGACAGGCCCAAACTTCGGCCTTTCCCATCTTCGATACACTCTGGCCCGAAATTTCATTACTTTTTCTTTGGTAACTGTGTTTAAACGATGTTTGGAGGTTCTGAGAACCGGGGGTGGCGAGATAGGCTGGGTAGGTTTGAAATACAGTATCTTTGATGATGGGTGTACCGGAATTTGCATCGTGAGTAGTTCACAAAGGGTAAAATGGGCGAGGAGGCATTGCAAATGAGTGAGAGGAGTACTGGGTGTATATTGAGGGTGTTCATCGCTGAGCATGGCTGCGGATGCCTTTCACTATCCAAACCCGACACGTCGTGTCTCGTTGATTAGCGCTCTCACATGACTCAAACGTGGGAATAAAGGGCATCAATTTTTTACTACGGTTTGATGGGCGCGATTGAATGCAGACTAGTTTCGGCGTATCATTAGCAGGTGGATGACTGTAGTTTAAAATCATTTTTTTCTGCAACAATGGTTCATCAAAATTTCCCAAAGTCCAGGATCAAATGCAGAACTAAAAAAGGAGTCGATTGCGCTATTTTCATGATTTTAGGGGTCCATTTGAGGGCTGGCCAATATTTTGGGGGTAAAATTTCTCATTTCATCAATTTTGAAAAATCGGCTCGTGGAAATCGAAGCGTTGAGTCCTAATCTTCACATTTCTGCAATAAAAAGTACTATTGAAGGTTGTGCAGGGTCCTCACATCACGATCACAAAATTAGTTGACTTTGGCTGTCCGCGACTGTACTGTCATTTTGGCTCCGATGATGGATCCAGCTTGCACAGCGGCCAATGGGGAAAGAGCTCTTGCAGCGCGATAGCGGAAACCGCGGTCCCCAAACGTGATCTCGGCAAAAACAGGGGTAGGAATAACTCAGTTACGTATACATAGTTGATAAAGTGCTCTCGAAGTCGGGGTGAGCGAAGCGTCTTATTTTTATTCTCTACCCAGTACTGATTGGGCAACTAGAGTTTACGCTAAGAAGTGCACGTCCTGCTCTAGCGGAAGAACCAGATCAGTCTATAACCATGGAGAAGCTAGGAAAATACTGCAGCCTAGGTTGGTGGCAGACAGAGCACCTTCCATGGTAGGTACATATTTTTTTCTGAAGGGTGCGCCAGCTAATTCCCATCTTCCTTTGAGCAAAAAAACTCAGTAATTTTCTCATAGCTGCGAGTGCGGACAAGAAAGCGGTTCTTTGGTGATAACCAAACCGATCCTCCGCCCCAATTAAGTACGGTGATAGGCAAATCCATTGGGTGTTTCCTAGGCTGCGTAAGCCTTTGACTGCGTCGAGATTCGCCGCCGATGGGGCAGAAACATGGACTTTGGCAACATCCATTGGGCCCAAAAAAAATCAACGGACACTTGCTAAAGAACGATACTGCTTGGAGAGTGAATCGGATGGGGATGTATAGCAAAATCCTCTGCACGATCCCAGAGAGTCATTTCTCGCCAAGTCACTTCAACTATCCTTCACCCAATTTACTTTGTGGGGGCGATAGCCATATCATTTTGGTCAGTGAATTTTGGAACTTGCAAATCAAAAAGAATTAGAATTGTAACTTCACCTAGAACTTCCCAGGTGAAAACAAATAATGGGTGAACATTTCTTCCTGGTGCAGTTCATCAACCAGTCCAGTAGGGTATGACCAACAGAGCATTGGTGATTTGATTGATTCCATGAATCCACTTTTTCACTAGCAACTGTCCACTAACAATCATACCGCGACCCTTCTGACCACTGTTGTGGTCATCGTCATAATGACCAACTCGCCATTTCCACCCAACCTTGTGTCAGCTGTTGTCATAGACACTGGTGGATCGATTATTAACTCTTTCGGTGTCAGGTTTCCAACACTAGATTGGTCCTGGCCATCGCTGCCAATGGGACCCAGTTTTACGAGGCGCCAAAGACGCCAGGGCTTCCTGAGGATGAGTCGTCACTTTGCAACAGAATCTGAACTGATATTATGAAGGTAGTACTTATGATAGGCAGCAAACAGTACATACGTGACGACTTCCTCTCTTATCCATATTCAAGTATAATGTGTTGTTCAGCCACCCAATCCTAATGTCAAGATCAGAGTCAGCAGAGGCCATTGTCCATGTAAGAAAATGCTCACTTCCATACATTTTCCTCAGGGTCACTTGCATTGAAGACCCAGCTGACTGGATAAGGATTGGCGACAACGGTCCCGTCTGCCAACCCTGATTCAATCGTAACATAATTTCCATTGTGCACACTCCTAATTGAGTAGCCAGCTCCCATTGGAGAGATTTCCCACTGTTCAGAACGCCAGTCAGTATACGCCGGAGTAGTGTAAGGGGGATTTCCATGCCTGTTGATTTTTATTTCCATGTGCGGGGTGCGCTAAAGATCGCGTCAAGGTAGGTGTAATACTAAGTAGTAGGAAGGACAATGCGTGTTGTTTAATAGCCTACCAATGATTAGTAGTCTTATTATTCCCTGCATGGAGATCTACAACATGATTGGGACTAAAGGCCTGTTTGATCTTGTAGTGGTGTTGCAATCCTTGGTAAGTGTGATGACCAGTGACATGCCGTGACATAGTGTCACAGGGCCAATTTCTTGAGACATGGACTTTGTACCTTCCACAACACCAATCCAATATATTTTTTGCAGTGGGTTTGAGGGAATGATGTGATTGAATCCACTGAGAGAGTTTTCCATGTAGAAAATGTATTTATTGCTCCAAAAATGCGAAATCAGCTTGTTTTCCCTGCCAAATTTGGCACTCTGGAGAGATTGGACTATAACTTTCCAACCACAACACGTATGAACATGGTTTGTAGGAGGATATTACTTAGAATTTGAATTCCAATCGATCTACGGATCCAGAATTTTTATTTGTGGCCCCTATGTCGAGATCACCCCTAAGAATGAGCACTTTAACATAGTTATGGGGTAGTAATTAAAATTATGGACCCGTAGGATTGAAGCCACATACTAATCGGTTATTTAGTCTCTGCAAATCTAAGCCAAAATCCTATCCATTGTAATGCTGATAGCTCGAGTAGGCAACATTGGGCTAATAGGTGCTGTATAGCCACCAAAATCAGACACATTGTAGATTTTTATACAATTGAATAGAGACTATCTATACAATTCTGGCGCATTTTTTTCTTGTAAATCGGTGGAGATTTGACTGAGCTACATCATTTACAACTTTGAGCTTGTCGGAGAAGCATCACCAGTCTGCCAAATTGGGAAGGTGCCTGTTTTGGCCACTACTTATAGATGGCCCAAACTTGTAAATGGTGTAGCTCAGTCAAATCTCCACCGATTTACAAGAAAAAAAATGCGCCAGAATTGTATAGATAGTCTCTATTCAATTGTATAAAAATCTACAATGTGTCTGATTTTGGTGGCTATACAGCACCTATTAGCCCAATGTTGCCTACTCGAGCTATCAGCATTACAATGGATAGGATTTTGGCTTAGATTTGCAGAGACTAAATAACCGATTAGTATGTGGCTTCAATCCTACGGGTCCATAATTTTAATTACTACCCCATAACTATGTTAAAGTGCTCATTCTTAGGGGTGATCTCGACATAGGGGCCACAAATAAAAATTCTGGATCCGTAGATCGATTGGAATTCAAATTCTAAGTAATATCCTCCTACAAACCATGTTCATACGTGTTGTGGTTGGAAAGTTATAGTCCAATCTCTCCAGAGTGCCAAATTTGGCAGGGAAAACAAGCTGATTTCGCATTTTTGGAGCAATAAATACATTTTCTACATGGAAAACTCTCTCAGTGGATTCAATCACATCATTCCCTCAAAACCACTGCAAAAAATATATTGGATTGGTGTTGTGGAAGGTACAAAGTCCATGTCTCAAGAAATTGGCCCTGTGACGCTATGTCACGGCATGTCACTGGTCATCACACTTACCAAGGATTGTGCACCACTTGTAGATACCTGGAACAATATCTCAGATTTGTTCCATTGGTGAATTCGTTGGATCAGAGAATGATACAATCTGGCATCCAACTGGCATCGATTGCTGAAGCGCTGAGGGAGGAGTGACTAATCATGTTGTCAACGTCTTTTCCACGATCAGAATGAAGTCACCTTGCTGGGTGCCAGACATGCCAGCGGTCCAGCACCATGGCCTTTTTTTTTCACGGTGTAGTCGGACTCTATACAGTGCTGATTGGGCGACTAGAGGCTAGGAGAACGGTGCGCGTCCTGTTTACCAAGGCAGATACCGCAGGCCCTTAGAACCAGTTTACAACCTTGGAGAAGCTAGGAAGATACGGCAACCAACTCATGGTAGGTTGGTGGCAACCTTCCGTGATGGTAGGGTACATATTTTTCTCTGCTGAGGCGCCTCAACTTCAAGCCTTCCTTTGAGCAAACAAACAGACACCATGACACACTCAGTGTTCTCGCGTCTCTCAAAGTTCTCTCAGAGTCATAGACGTCGGACAAAGCGGTTCTTTGCTGATAACCAAACCGACCCTCGGCCCCAATTACTTACAGTGACTTGACATGTCCATTGGGTGTTTCCTGGACCTCGAGGCTTTCGGCTGCAGAAACAGGGACTTAGGAAAATCTATAGAGCTCAAAAAATAATAATCAACGGACACTTGCGAAAGAACATTGACACTGCGGCTTGGAGAGGCGGCGGTCTCACCTGAGAGTGGTTTCATTTTCTCAAGAGACACGTTGAAGACACGATTGAACCTCGCATGTATATCACAACGACTCGGATTTATTTTTACATGTCGAATTTCCATTTCAAATTCTGCCAAATAATCACCTAGTTAGCTGTAGTGCGAGAAACCTGGTCAGCATTCACGCGCACGGCGTATAACAGAGATTAATACTGACCTTGCTCGAAAGTCCAAGTTTGGTTGGTACCCTTCCACCGACCCCAGATAGTGATGGGAGTTCCTGGGTTCGGGTTTCCATGATCAGACAAGTCGACGTTATGCCTGGTGTTCGGGACGCAAATCCTACATAAACCAAGCATGTTAACGCGTGGTATCCATCGAATCAGCATCTACTTAAAAGCGACAACATACCTGAGAACGTTGACGTTATCCTCATCAGGCCAGATGTTCCAGCCAAAAGGGTTCGTGGATCCGACAACAGATGCGTTATCGGACGCCTCGCCTTGAATGGCGAGGTATCTCCCTGTGGCGACGCTCTTGAAGTACCACAGCCCGTTCTGGGTCGATGCTACCCACTGCGTATCATCGCGATCAATCGATGTGGACTGTTGGTTTGGCGAGATAACTTCGTACCTTCTGGTTGTCCCCACCGTGCCAGTTATATCCGGCAACTAGTAGATTTCCTTCAGCCACAGAGGATCTTCTAGCAGTCATACGCACCAGACCTATTGTCGTGCGAGTTTAAATCGATGACGGTGTGCCCTTTCACGTTGACGATTTTGTAGATGTTACCGTCGCGAACGTCAGCCATGGTTGTGTAGGATGTATCCAAGATGTATCTTTATCTGATCATCTCGAGTGGGCTCACCTTTATACGCCACGGTTCCGAATTCGAAGGCCTTGGCGAGCAGCTGATCTTCCAATTATGGCCCCTCCTCAACCGTGCGTGAGCAGATGGGGCCAATTTGGGGCCAATGGGAAGCTCCAAGTCCATCTCCAACATTTGCGAATGATGATGCAAGATGCTTCCCACGTTAGGACGTCAGGACGACCTTTTGAAGTTCGTTATGTTGCGTATAAAACTATCTCTTCAATCTTCAAAACGACAAGTTGTCGACGGAGAAGGCAGCCTTTAGTACGATCATATAATAATTTATGGGAAACATGTGGATGCGAGGTCGCGCGTATATACTTTTACATCTCCAAATAGCCCAACGTAAACTGAGGCAACAACTCTCGAGTCATATGCACGCATATACCAGCAGAAAAAGAAGCAAGAGCAGAGCTAACAATCGAGAGTGGTGTAAGACGGATTCACAATAAAACGCGAGAAAGCATGTAACACGGACGGAAAGTAAAGCGATGAGTGCAGGGAAGAGGTTATCAAACGATGCCTTTGATGAGCATACTCTCCAGCCGGTAGAATTCGGGGACGATGGCAGCGTACGTCATGAATGCGTCGATGTCAGGCTCCGCAACTTTGGCCAAGCCAACCTGGGCCTCAGTGTCTGCCGTCGGTAGCGCAACCACCGGTGTGAGAGGGGTTGGCGTGGTTGGCGTCCCAGAGTTTCCGTTTGCGCTCAGAGCAGGGGTGACGACGCCAAGGTTTCCAAGCCCTAGATCTGGTGTAGTGAACGTGGTGGAGGGAGTCAGTACCGAGCTTGTGCTGCTGACGATTGTGTCAACGGTTGAGCCTGTTTGCGTCCTCAATCGGGAGGATCCAGCAACGTCACTGTAAGCACCACTGCCATAGAGGCCACCACCAATGACGCCAGGGTTTACAACCTGCCCCAGGCGTCCACTCCGCTCCAACTCAAGTTCCTCGTCTTCATCCTCCTCCACAAACACGGTAGCTCCAAGTCCCGATCGATGACCATATGGTGTGCTCGTCCCGCTGTTCCCTCCACTTCCACCTCCCAAATTCAGCCCTACCCCAAGCATGCTTCCACTTCCATTGATGTTAGTCCTCAGTGGCGTCTGCGAGCTTGCTACCCATCTCTTCCCCAACAAACGCTTGATTTCATCTTCAAATCCTGCCAACCCCCCTGAACCCCATTCCCGACCCCATACCCATCGCGCGACATAAGCCCCACCAAGAGAAGCTCGTCCTGGATATCCTTGGGCAGGAGCATTTCGATGGGGGGCAACTTGAGCAGAATCTACTTGTGTGCTTGGCACAAAGATGGGGGCATTGAATATGTCCCCGACAAGGTTGGCCACGCTAGGAAAATTGGCGGCCGCACCAGTCGCGAGGATCCTAGACGGGAGTGGGGCGTAATCGTATGGGTCAAATGGTAGCCCAAGGCTGGAAAGAGCAGCCGATGATCGACCAGACAATGGCGGTGTTTGGCTCAAACCAGATTTCCTGGGCCCCAATAGACCCGTTGCGATCATGCGAGACCATTTCACCCTGAATGAGAGTAGCTGGCTCTCAAGAAGACAGCGCGGGTTCGCGCGAAGATCACGAAACTCGTTGACTTTGATACCAGTTTCAAAACGGTAGATCCCTTTCACCCGAGAGTATGGGTAGCTGTCACCTTGAAGGTGCCAGAAACTGAATAGCTTGTCGTCAAGCCTTCAAACGCAGTAAATTGAGTAAGTGACTAGATGACGGCATTGAATGTCGATGTGCGCACCCAATAGATCCCCCTGGTGGCACGATGGCGACAAGGCGATCGAAAGCGCTCCAGCTCTTTGTATACATATCACGTACGAGGGCACGTGGGACATCAGCATTCCTGGAAATTGTAAGTAAGATGACACCATTTCGAAGGAAAAATTACCTGCTACAGAGTACGGCAATGTATTTCCGTTTTTCTCCTGGATCTTGAGCGGGATGAGGGAATAGATTATAAAGGCGCGTAGGGATATAATGCTGTGCTGGTGTGAGTAAGGTATCCATCGGACCAAAGGAGAGGACAGCGTCGCCTGCAGAGGGACACAAAGATAGGTATGTTGACAAATAGTCAGACGTGAATGGAGCCACAATGGTATCTAAAGATCAGGTAAATAGACTGAGAGAGCAACGAAAAACACAGAACCCACCTGGATCGAAACTGTAACGTTCCACAAGGTATCTAGAGACATTTCCAAGTCGCCTTCCCCCGCCAGAGACATCAACATCCCCGAACCACCCTCTAACTCTTCTGCCCTCCTCTCGACTCCCACCAACAATGTCTAAAACACCCTCATCCCAGAAACCTTGTCCAGGGGCGTGGCCAAGGAGGCTAGCAGCATTTTGATTGCCGCCATGAACCCACAGACCGGTAGCGCAGGCTTCAGCCTCGCTCATGCTCGTCCACTTTCCTGTTATAAGACTCCCCAAGAATGCGCTTGCCAGCTGTAAGCGACCAGTCCTTGCCCAAACTTCTTGAGGCCAACTTTCCCGTACCCGAAGCAGCTGGGCAGATACCATGGATGCGCTCGCAGGGATTCCTAGACGAGCTGCCATGTGATCTGGCCCTCCCAGTAGTGCTTCAATGGCAAGTGAATGGGTATGTGAAGATGTGTCTTGTGAAGTGGGTGTATTAGGCAGTGAAAATGAGTGAGCAGGAAAATGAGAATGAAGTGGAATATGTGGGTCCAGTGACGATAATGAAGGGACGGGGGACGATTTCCACCAGACGAGAGCATGCTAAAAATATACAGAGTAAAATAAATAAATCGGCTACCAGGAAATAACATAAAAGCGAAGACTAACCTGTGCAGAGCCTCCAATGCCTCTTATCCTCGTCAAGTCGTAGTTTCTGTGTAGTTTTTCGAAGAGCGTATCTGTATCACGTGATTTCACGGTGATCGAGAATAGATCATTAGTCATTTGGCCAAAGGCAATAGAGTCCGAGCAGAAAATTTGCTTCCGCTTCGTAGTGAGAAAAGAAGGGAGAACTCACCAAGGCCTTTGATCCACATCTCTACTGGCGTCGTGTAAGCATCTCCTGGCGTCGTGAATATGCCTCCCTGGGTTCTAGAGAAGGATATCGTGAGATCAGCGCTTCAAGAATAAAGTCGAGATGCACACTGGTATTCTGACAACTCCGTGTCAAAGTCCACGCTTTCCACCCCTACGAGTTCAAGACTCTCATCTACAATCGAGGCTCGCAGCTGGTCCGTCGCCAACTCAATGCCCAAAAAGAGCGCTGGTCCAATTTTTGGCGTAGGTGGCATTGCTTTTACGGATATATTAATGTTGGTGGTATCTTGGACGTGGTATTTCGAAGTGCTTGGCGCTACGATATAAGCCGAGCGGTGATTTGCGTGGGCAATTGGTGAAGCGTTATTATGCAGGTGGGTACGACAGAAGGAACGTGAGTTGGCAATCTAGTAAGATGCGTAGATTGTTGAAGGCGTCGATGAATGGTGACCACAGTCTGTGTCACTCCTTGTTGTAGTGCTGCAAGAGAAGAACGATGTCGTAGAAAGACTGCAGCCGAAAAAAAGATGGCCCAGCGAGTTCGAATTCTCAGGCTGTTCGCTGTCTCCAAGAGTTGTCCATCAGACTTGCATATTACGTAACCACTCAATCGCGTCGTACACCACCAACTCCCTTCATGCTTGTAACCACATGCCCTGTAGTCTCCTCGTCGTCAAAATTGAAAACTCGCGGCAATCTTTGGCACCCCTCAAGCACTCCTCTATTGAAATGGCTTTTTGTCGGTTGGCGCACTTTCAAATCATCTGGTATTGGGTTCAGGGCCTCCCTGCCGTTACAACGTTGCGCCACGATGTCCAGGTGATCTGTCTTCAAACGAAATGAAATCTTGGCGTGTAACAGGCATAGTCTGGGGCTTGAGTTCTTTTATACCCCAGTATAAATTCTGAGGATCGTGGTCCACTCTTACAACTATAATCCTATATGCAATCGACCAGCCTCGGCCGCCCGAACGGCTCAATATTACATCGATCGGTGTTAGTGTGCCCCTTGCACCCCCTGAAGTCGAACGACCTCTTTCGATGGGCCCGGAGTATCAGCGCATTTTTTGCACTTGATGCTCCTCGACGTCGTCGCATCATTTCTTTGTCGCTAAGAATATGTATTTTGCTCGCTGTGGCGAGAAAATCTAAGTTCTGCAGCCTTGTCCCAACAAAGCTATGTAACTGGAGCACACACATCGCGAAGTGTTGGGTTCTCAAAAGCTGGACCTGTTTACATTGTGCTTCTGCTTCACCTGGACTCCGCGAGAGTGGCGATATCGATACTCCCCGTGGTCCGCCGCAAGTGGTTTTAATTTACAGTTGGCTTTCGCTTGCTTGTGAAAGGATGCGCTAATATGTTATCAAAACGGCCTATCTGGATGCACACAGCCTCATTTCAATCCAAAATGGTTCCTTCTCCGACATAACAACTCGACTCACACCCCCAAAAGGTCCTTTAGGATTGAGGCAGGCCGCCGTTTTAATTGCTGAAAAACATGCCCCCATCTTGAGTATCAAACTCAGACTGAGCGTGTGGATCACCAGTTGTGCGTCTTCGTGCGTCTTTTGATTGCCCATAGTAAGACGGCAATCCAACATCCTTATACTCACCGGGGGACGATCGAGGCCCGAGGCTCACCGGCTATGACATAAAAGACGTCCCATCGCAATTTAAGCTTTCTTCTCGGGCTTTACAGCAAGATGCAAAAACGTAGACACCTCTCCAAATTTCCCAGACTCCGCCTCGCTTTGTACAAACAACTGCTTTAGGAAATGAGCGGGTGTGAGTGACGCAAGCATTCTGTTCTCGCTCCACCAACCTCCACTTCGTGCATTCGCTAGCGTCTCAGAGTCTATGTCATTTCCTATCAACCCTCGTAACAATGAGATGCCGTTTTTGTTCGGCAGATATAAAGCGGTAGTTCCCTGACATATTTGAAGATGGGAAAAGAGAAGGGAAAAGAGAAATTATATAGAAGTGGTGCGCCATGCAAGCGCCATGAAGTCACTATGACGCGTCGTGCGGCGGAGTTGCACCAAATGCGGTTGTTTGTACAAAGCAAGGCGGAGTCTGGGAAATTTGGAGAGGTGTCTACGTTTTTGCATCTTGCTGTAAAAGCATGTAAAGAGCGTTTGCGTCCTCAGCTTTTCATACCCCATCTCATTTATCGAGCCACCTCTGTAAAATGGAGATCGTTCAGTCTGGTTTGAACTTCAGGATCACCAACGCCAGGTCAGGAACAGTCTTAGATGTAGCTAGCGACAACATTTCCGGCGAGTATTCGCTATTTTGAATTTAACAGAGCGGGATCTAACGAGGTGTTGTAGTTGTTGGGAATCAGTGGATACAGGGAGAGAATCAGAGTGTCAGATTTTTCTCTTGAGAAGTCGTCATCGAAAAATAAACATGACCTCATTTCGATATCTAGTGGATTACGACCTGGACCGGCAACAGCTGGACAATTCGCTCCTCTTTGTCTGGGTTATACGTCGGTTTGGCCGGCTCAGCCGCTGATGGGACTCGTCTTATAGTCAGCGCCGCGCCCTTCCAGTGGGATATTTGGCATGATACTGCAGATCCCAGGACGTACCGGTTCGCACCCACCCACCCTGCCTGTGATTGAGCTGACTTCACGCTAATTTCGGAGCAGGATTTTTGTTCCAAACACCCATTTCAATTGGGACCTCTCGAGCCATGGAAGTTCGGCTCCCAATACACCTACCACTGTCTGGTATACCTATGAAGATGACGCCGTTCACCAGACGTGGACGTTTGACAGAGGTTCGTTTATCAATCCGCCGTTTCCACAAAAATGCTCAACCGGATTTGCTCCTAGTATGACTATATGGGCAGTCTGAATGACTTCATCGATAGCCAAAGGCATCGAGATGCATTTTGAGTGCCGCCAATTATTTTTCTTGACATTTTCTTGGACAAATCCGCGATTAATCAATTTGTCTTGAACGCTATATTCATGTATTTCGTCGGTAATCGTATCTCGGCTTCAGTTGTGACGTTGTGCACACACATAATCGCCATCGAAACTTGCATCGGATGCAGAGGCGGAACGCCTTCCAGGTCCACGACTTTTGAGATAAATTTTGGGAACCAGACTACCATCGCAACAGCGGTTTTGTTTCACTGCTTCCTGGACGTGTGCCCTAGAGACAAATCCCCGAGATATTAGCAGTGATAGAACCCATGTCTCTAAGGATACAACACGGTGCACGTCCTTCCCCCGATGACCATCTCTTGTCGTGGCTCGTTTTTTATTTAGTTGCATATTATAATCCTTCATTCGAAGTTTACTTCATGGGGGCACCGATACCATGTCATTTTAGTCAGTGAATTTCGTAACTTGAGTCATGAAGAATTAAAATTGTAACTTCACCGAGAACGAGTTAAGACATGTAGTATGGGCGAATATCTCTTCCTGGTGCAGTTCAGCCGTTGACTCTGGATCAACCGATCCGGTGGTGAGACGAAGCGCGGTATGACCACTTTCACACATCTTATTGCTAGCGACTCCCTGGCAATCACACCGCAACCCTTTTGACCTTTGTGACCGTAGTAGTCACTGTTGTAGTTGTCGTCGTAATGGCCAACTCGCCATTTCCACCCAACTTCAATCCTTCCGCATCAATAATCGTATCAGCTGTTGTCGTGGACGCCGGCGGATCGATAATTAACTCTTGCGGTGTCGGGTTTCTGACGCTGGTTTGGTCCGGGATGTCGGTGGCAATCTCACCCAGTTTTACGAGGCGCCAACGACTTCCTGACAATGAGTCATTACTTTGCAATATAATCTGAATTGATATTATGAGGGTAGTTATAATAGGAAGCAAAAGGTACATACGTGACGACTTCCACTCATGTCCATATCAAATAATAATGCGTTGTTTGGCCAACCAATTCTAATATCAAGATCATCAGCAAAGGCCATTGACTGTGTAATAAATGCTCACTTCCATACATCCTCCTTGCCACAGTCACTTGGATCAAAAACCCAGCTGACTGGATAAGGATTGGCAACGACGGTCGTCCCGTTTGCTAACCCTGATTCAATCGTAACATAATTTCCGGTGTGCACACTCTTAATTGAGTAGCCAGCTCCCAATGGAGAGATTTCCCACTATTCACGACGCCAGTCAGTGTACGCCGAAATATTATAAGGGAGAATTCCATGCCTGTTGATTTTCCCATCCATGTGCGGAGAACCCTAAAGATCGCCTCAAGGTGGTAGGTTTATTAGGAGGACAACGCATGTTTTTAGCCTACCAATGATAGTCTTATTATCCACTCCAGAGAGATCTAGAACACAATCGCGAATCGAGACATTCTCAATCTTGTAGATACCTGGAGCAAGATCTCGGATTTGTTCCATTGGTGAACTCGTTGAATCGGAGAGTCCTAACATTCGTCCTGATACAAATTGCAGGGGTACTAGATGTGACCGATAATGAGAGCGGAGTATCAAAGCGGAGGGGCGAAGCAAATCCGGTATCGATGTTCCGACCATCGTCACCTCTAGTCGTCCCAGATTGGAAGATCGTCATGAACGGTGAAGTATTTTGAGCGAGGACTTCCTTTCGCGTCACACGGACCCATTTGAACACCCCAGCCCCCGTCCTGTCTAACACCATACTCAAAAAAAGTCTGGAAGGGGCCCTCCCGGAAAGTTGCCAGTCTCAGTTGACTGCAAGTTGACTGTAAGAAGGTCGGGTGTCTTGTTGGGTGTCGTTTCCAAACCTCAGCTTTGTTTGCCGACGCGTTGTTTTGGACTGTTTTGGTCTATCCATCAAGTACTCATCATGCTCAAGCGCTCATTAAAGTCTGTGGCATCATCATCAGGCTCTCTCGCTAGATCACGGATTTCGTTGACGTTGAACGCGTCGCAGCGCAAAGGTACCTACCTTTACGCATCGATGAACCTACACGACGTTGGTTTCTGAGCTCTCCCCCTTGATCCTCCTTTTGCTCTTAATCTTTTCAACTTCTCATGACCTAGTATCATCTTATAACTGATCGATTCGGTCTTCATCTCAGATCCTGAGCCAAATGTTAGCACTAAGTCCAAAATGCTTGTCAGGGGCGCCGAAGATTTTACTTGCAATGCTCTCATTGATTTTTTTGATATTTATTGCTGGAACTGGAAGGGCTGAAGCGCGAGCCGTAGTAAGTAGCAATTCGTCATATCGGGCCTCCTAGGCTGATTCTCTTTTAGGTACGCCCAGCTTCAGGAAAACACTGGAATTACGGAGAGCCAGTGAACAATCCATCCAGGTACTTAGCAACTCTCTGTGTTTATTATATTACCTAAAAACCGGATCAAGTACCCACCCAGAAGAACAGGTTACACTCCATTCGATAGAGGCAATGTCCGCAATCCGAATCGGTTGCGCGAACTGCGATTCTGCAATGGAAACAGACCAGGTAGAGAGGAGAGTTAGGGAATACTGGTACCAATCGCGAGATATTTTTCTCCGAAGATTGACAGATGCACAAGTAACGTGAATCTCCCCTCCTTTTGATCTGCCCCGTCGCTTGTTGATTCAATTTATGACAGGGTGTCGGAAGGTCGTATGGGTCGGTCTATCTGGGTCACATTTTTTAAAGGCCACACGACGATCCATACACAGATGAATCTTGGTTGACAAGCTCTTCATTTTGAATAAAAATACGTGATGAGCCCGTTTTGAGTTCTGGTCATGATAGAGATCAATTCTATCCGGAATTCTCTTGCAATAGACTAGTCAGACCGCGATTAAAGACCAGTTCAGGACAGAAATGCCTAACAACTATGTACTACATGCCGAGAACTCAGAACATAGCTGCATCAGTATTCTAGGAATTGCCAGCCGCCGGCAATTGCAGCTATGTACCGGCACTTCATTCTTAAACATTACATGTATCATGGACGTTGGATGGACGTTGGAATGACGTCAGCTTTCAGCAACAAGGACTGTGCGACCAAAATAAAAATCGGCTGCCGTGTCCACCTTCAACTCTGCCCGCTCGAACGGTGGGTGAAAAATCTATACGCGGTAAAAATAAAGGGTAGGCTACACAAAAATACGCTATCATATGAGTGAGTGATAAAATACAAGATCCGTAGCGGTGGTCGTAGACACATGATTAGTCGTCGTTGGCACGATGGATCATGATGATACAGGCAAGAAGGAATTGCTCATCGTCTGTGAATTGAGTCGGGTGGGAAGCAGAAGAGTGGGTCTTCCATTTGATGAGTTAACAGCAAAGCAGGCAAGGGCAACACAATATTCCGGCGCAGCAGCCTGCCAAACTAAAAGACAAAACACGTCAGCCTTAAAAGTGAAAGTGACATCCAATGGAGACAAACAAGGCGCAGGGGGTACAACAACTGTCATCCTGTTTCTTGTTCTGCTGAGGTTGTTGTGGCTGGACGTAAATCATCTGAGGCTGAGTCTGGGGCTGACCCTGATATGGTGTCGATTGGTGTTGGGGCTGGTAGTACTGAGGCGGTGGTGCTTGTTGGTACGCTGCAGTTTTCGGCCCTGCTTGATTCTGTTGGTTTGCTGTGTATGGATGGGGAGTTGGCATGTTGTCTACATCGAGGTTTAAAGTGGGGATTGCGAACGGGAACGTCAGAAATAAGTGAAAGGAGTCTGCAGTTTGTTTGACTTACAAGCACTGGGTCCTGGACCACCGTAGTCTCCATGGTATGCAGGACTGGGTTTCTCGACTTTGGGTGCTCCGAAGGACATGGTGATGTTTCAGTTATGAAGGGGTTCTCAATTTCGGTACCGCGAAGGGGACCTTTGAGGGCGTTTGAATCGTGAAGTACAGCTAGCACTGGTAGGAAGAGGGAGAACGATGAGCACACATTCGGTCAGCGGAGGCAGTGATTGATTTATTTTGTTCGTGATAAGATAGAGGTTTAATGTTTAGGCTTGGCGAAAGGCTGCGCCGATGACGTAGACACCTTGCACCACTCATCACCGGTTCCTCCATTCCTCGAGACCCATCTCGAAAACATTATTGGTGAGGCCATTTGGGACATGATGAAACGTTACACCTGTGATTAGTATGGTGAGCAATGTAAGAGCGGGGATTGGATGAAAAAGGTGCACCGAGTTGCTCGACCTCCCTATTTCTGAGCTCGTCGTCGAAGAAAAGCTGTTGAAGGTCAGTGAGGGGTACATGAGTATTCTGCCTGGTGCTCACCATCTCAGAATATGAAATTCCAGTACGTTCCTTTAGAGCCTTAAAATGAGTTATCTTCGATCCTGAGATGGTACTCAGCATATATTCAGTCGGCGGCCTTAGCGATAGGAAGGTCACCAGGATAGATCTCCAACTCGTCAAAAAACTCTGTTGCTGGTCTGGTGCCGCCAATTGCATCGCCGATTTTTGATTCAGGTGCGACAAGTAGAAGGCTGAGGCACTTTCGGGCTCTGTAGATATGAATATGATCTTTTGCAGGCTGCTAGCAGGGTGGAGAAACGTACAGAGTTGGTGCATGGGTTCTGGAGCAGGCGACGATTGTAACAGCCCCTCCTCTATCTACTATGTTTAAATTTCCCACCCTTCGCAGACGATGAAGAATGGCTGGGACGTCCTTGTAAAACGAGATCTTCTCGTTGTATCTTTAACACTGATCAAGCATTATTCTGTATTGCACAGGGAGTACTCACCTATCCAAGACTTCATTCACATTCTCCTTGTCCCTTCTAAGAGGTCCTTCAGGAACTCAGTCTGCTGGTTTTCCACGACATCTACTAAATGCACACCAGTAACATGGGTATCGATCCAAAGGTCCCATAGGGTATAGCTTGGAACCCGGTCTCGACATCAGACAGTTCTTTATCAAGATAAAAGTCTCATACTTACTCAAGATCGAAGGCGACGAGTTGTGGGTATCTGCCCTCATCTTGGTTGGTGGACATCTTGCTGTGTTTGGTGCAGGGGCTCCGAGAAAACAAATTATTTCCGCCGCCAAGTCGATCAGCCTCAGACTCCCCAGACGCCTACATCATGCCTGAAACATTCTGCAACGCCTTATCAGTACCACCCAAGTTCGAGATTGAATTCGACAAACCCCATTATGAATTTCAAGAAAAAACTGGAGAAAGTGGCGGCGACGGTTGAGAAGGGTGTTGGTCACGCTCGTGAAGAAATTGCTGGTCAGTTATCGCGTCTTTGGTTTTATGGACGATGAATGAATTTGAGTCAAGGCCGTTTGAATCCAAACCGTACGTTTTCAGCGACGACCTTCCTATTTTTTGGTAGTAACTTACGACGCATCGTTTTGTAGGGCGCCATGATGAACCTCATGAAAAGGTTCGAGATGAGCTACTTGCTCAGATCAGGGCTGGACATCGCTTCAATAGCTTCGCCTCCGAACGCACTGACACAAATGTTAAATGGTGCGCAACTCCAGTCTTTACTTGCCTCAAATTCTGAGGCACGTTGATAGGCATATCGATGGACACGACTACATGTGGGCTTTGTCTGAAATGCTCGACAACGCGAAAGAATTTATTTTTATCCTGGTGTGTAGTCTGGTTTAGATTCTCTGACGATGCCTAATGTTTTACCGTCAGGATTGGTGGCTCACGCCAGAGCTTTTTTTGCGTCGACCACCTGCTTTCCACCAAGAGTGGAGGTTGGACCGCGTTTTGAAAAGGAAAGCTGAGGAGGGCGTCAAGATCCACGTTATTGTGTACAAAGAAGTTACTCAAACCATGGCGATGAGTTCCAGCCACACGAAGGTATAAGAACCCTGATGAATCTAGCAATTATTCTGACTTTCGCCTTTTAGCATGCATTGGAAAGACTTCATCCTAACATTACTTGTGCCCGACATCCCGACCATATTGGCGCGAAAGGTATGCATATTTTGTGCTTCTCATCAAACAACGCAAATAAGATGTCGTCTCTAGATAGTGTTCAACTCTGGTCTCATCACGAGAAGGTCGAACGTCGTGGTTTTCACTCTATACCTAACTGATATGTCCTCACGCAGGTCGTCGTTGTAGACAACCACTTTGCCGCTATTGGGGGACTCGACCTATGCTTTGGACGATGGGACACACCCAATCACCCATTAGCGGATGTTCACCCCACTCATTTCGGGCTCACTCTCTTCCCTGGGCAGGATTATAACAATGCTCGCATCATGGACTTCAAGGAGGTCAAGAACTACGTCAGCAACACTCTTTCTATTTTGGAAAGTGCGAGGATGCCTTGGCATGATGTATGCTTATCCGTCTACTTTTCTACGATCAACTTTGAAACAGACAATGTAGGTTCATATGACTATGACTGGACCGGTGGTGCTGGACATATCACAGCACTTCATCGAGCGCTGGAATGAAGTCAAAGCTAGGAAGTATTATGATGACAAGTAGGTTGCCCTTGTCATTGATTATGTTGCGTTATCGACACGCCCCCGTTTACTACAGGAGATTTGCATGGCTTGCCTTACCCCACGACCCTTCGGCCGCGCCAAATGAAGCCGTCGCACGTATGTTTTATCTAGATGGTTAAGAATCTTTTAATGATCGACTTTAGGACATCCTTTCCGCGTAGAATGGGATGGAATGGGCAAAAAGTACAAGCAGCGCTGGCATGGCATCCATAAAGGTGAAGACCCGCAGAACTACCCTCTCCCTAGTGCTCCTGGGTGTAGAGTCCAAGTCGTCCGCAGTGTTTCGGATTGGTCCCACGGGGTTTTAACGGAGCATAGCATCCAGAATGCTTGTGAGTCTCTCACTGGAGTCAATATTTGAAGCGAGACTGACATTATTCGAAGACATCCGTTTGATTAGGGAGGCTGAGCATTTCATTTACATCGGTATGTCTCCGCCTTTCTCAAGTTCAATCAATTTGTTAAATTTTGTCTTCAGAGAACCAGTTCTTGTATGTTCTATGTTATACCCAGCCCTTCAGTGGCTGATGCATGCTCCTTATCAGCATCTCAGCTACAAAGCCTGGAGGACAAATAAAAAACTTGATTGCACAAGCCCTTGTTGAAAGAATAGTCTCCGCGGCAAAGGACGGCGCGAAGTTCAAGGTTCGTGCAGTACCTGCACATTTCCTCTTTGGGTGAACTGACTGGCTCTGCTGGCTAGGTCATCATCCAGATTCCAGAGTTGCCTGGCTTCGCAGGGGATTTGAGGGAGGGATCCGTCAAGACAATCCTGTCTGCTCAATACCGAACTATCAATCGGGGCGGAAGTAGTATCTACGAGCAGATTCGTAAAGCTGGATATGAACCGTACGATTGGTTTCTCACCCCTCTATTGCACTGTTCTGAGTGTCTCGCAGCTTGGATTACATTCGGTTCTACCACCTCCGATCTTACGACAGGATCAACGCCCCCCTTGGTTAGCCATCTTTTGGACATAACATTGACGATGTTTGACCGCTTACACCGAACAGGTTCATTCATCGGGAAGATGGAAAAGAAATCAGGCATCAGGTTTCACGAAGCCCAGGTCGCTCTCGCCCGTGCATGGGTTTCGGGGGACGAACAAACCGATCAGAAGGAGGTTACCGTGACCATCCCACAAGAGGCTACGGAAGGTTTGATGCTCACTCCAAAGACTCCGCCCAAGACCGAGACGGTGCCTATCCCGACGACGGACGATGCTGCGCTCAAGGTGGTGGAGCGGTGGCATCGTGGTGCGGAGGGATTGCGTGGTGACGAAGAGGTTTCTGATACAGTGTCGCAGCACATGCTTCACGAGAAAAGGTTGGTGGACGAGAAGTGGTTAGGGACTCCGGAGGAGGAACTGAATGCGTATGTGTTCCGTCTTTTTTCTTGCTTTGTGATTGACCAGGTCTGTTTAGATATGTTTCGGAGTTACTTTACATACATTCGAAGCTTATGATAGTGGATGATCGCAGGGTTATCGTATGGATCTCACAATTTCCGCTTGCCTCGACTTTGTTAACGAGATTGTAGATGGGTTCAGCGAATATCAATGACCGTAGCCAGAAGGTGCGCCTCATCTTCAGCGCATCAACCAACAATAATCGACCTAGTTCATTAGGGCGATGGCGACTCTGAAATTGCCCTCGTTATTGAAGATGAGGACATGGTCGATTCTTTCATGGATGGTCAGCCGTACAAAGTATCTCGGTTTGCAGCGACTTTGCGACGAAAGTTATTCAGAGGTTTGTTTCTACCCTACTTTAACTTTTCAGGACTCATCGTCCCCATTAGAGCATCTCGGTTTGATCCCTCCTGAAGACCATTCCCAGCGTTTTCCCGAAGCGACTTCCTTTATGCGCCCAGCTCCCTTCCCAAATAAAGATGAGACTGCTACACGTGAAGATCAGTTTGTAATGGATCCTATCTCGGACGAGATGGATTTGTTCTGGAACCAGACTGCGAAGAAAAACAGAGAGATATTTTCTGAGCTTTTCCGGCCCGTCCCAACCAATCTTGTTCGCAGCCTTTCTGACTACAAGGTGCGGCCTTTCTTTTGACTATGTCAACTGTCATGTTTTGCTGACCCCGTGACAGGATTATCTGCCGAAAGTAAAGACGGGGCATGTAGTTCCTGGGATTACGCTCGAACGTTTGAAGAGTAGGTTGAGCCAGGTTCGGGGGTCGCTGGTTGAATGTCCTTTGGTATGACCGATACATCTCTTCTACTTCAGAGTCTCACTCGACTCCGCAGGACTTCCTCATTGACGACAAGGATTTCGTTAGTTGGCGTGTTTATGATCCTACCCTACCCATCTTTCTTTGAACTCCAAATCGAGGTGAAAAAAATATGTAATATTGTTATGCTACGATCAATGGCTTCTTTTTGGTTGGACCATGTTCAACCATGGTTTCTCCTCCTTCCACAATGAAGTAGGTGACGACAACTTTTGTCGTGATAAAGGTTGAGGACAACTAATTCCTAATAGTAGTCCAAGATCAATCCACTTCAACGAAAGTCCATTACATGAAGGTGGATTCTGGTCCCCAAAAGCTGTTTGTTTGGCGGGACATCAGCGAAAAAGTTCGGGGTTGTGTGCACGAGTATTGTCGCCACGCCCGCTTAGCTCAGTCGAGAGCTGCGGATTCACCGTCAAAGTCACGGCAACACTATCCCATACTAGGCTCATTTGGTTGGACATCAGTATCGCTACTTGAAAAGATCGGCTTTGGTTAGAAATAGCCCAGAGGTATGGGACACACAGAGTCAGAGTTTTGCATCCACTGTTGCACCTTCACTTTACTAGCCTCCTTTGCACGCAATTCTTCCACCTTCTCTTGCCTCTGTGCTTCTGCAGCCATCGATTTGGGGGTCCTACCCTTCATTAACATGGAGAGTGCAAGGATATCATCCATCGCCTGGAGCATTTCAGGTGACATGTCTGAGTGCCTTCGTCGCTTTTGCTTCTTTTTGGAATCATCGGACTCCATATCACTGTCATCTTTAGTACGCGGACTCGGAGGGGTTGGTGGTATCGGTATTGATGCGTAGCTTTCCGTAAAACGTCGTTCCATCAATTCCTTGATTTTCTGTCCAATGCCCCAGCGTCGGTAGCCAGCGACACCATACATGTAATCCAAAATGATGGTGGATAGAGGCGACGTGCCTGTGCCTGTTATGCATGCATCATACTGCGGTATTGCTGCACGATTCACTATTCGAAAATGCTGCAAGGTAATACGACGGGGTGGCATTGGGCCTGTTTCAACACGAGGGATGTCGGCAGGTTGTAAAGCAAAGTTAGGTGTCTAGAGTTCATTTGATGAGTAAAATTCAGAATTTATGCACACACACCTTCAAGAATGCGCTAATCCCTGCAGCAAAGAAGCTATGCAAATCCGGGCTCAAAAGCATTCCGTTCTCGACTGAGTTGATGCCCAGATCAACGGATTCTTCATTGAGGTCGTAGAGATGTTGACGGTCTCGAAGAACAAATTCAAGGTACTAGGAGAGCATTTAGCAAGACGATGACGTTGAGCAACGAAAATGTATACTTCGTCTCCTTTGCTCCTGGGGAGTAGATGTGCTTCTTCACAAAGACTGCCCTCTGTGAATGTGAAGGCACACACCGGACCATCTCGTGTTATTATATCACTACGGAAACTTGAAGAGCGCAGTGTTTGCGCAGAGGATGTTCCTCGGTCGTCGATTGCATGAGAATCAATGAAGCGATAATCCCCTATGAAGAGGAAAACAAAAATGTTAGCGACGAGCAACAAATATGGAATCTATGAATATTACCTTGAGGAACAAAATGATATGCCTCTTCCATGTTATCAAGGGTGCTGGTATCATAATCGACAGGGGGGCCATTATGCGTCGTAGGGAGATCTCCACGAACCCCGCAGATGGTGAAGATGAGGTACCGAAGCCACTTGACAGGACGCAGGGAAAGCCTCTCGACGTCGACGAAGGGTATGGAAAGTGCCAGGATTTGTTGGCCTTCAATAGGCAGGTAAACGTCCACCATGGCTAGATGTGTCAGAAGTACTGAGACATACGCGAAAAAGTTTCATTCACGAAAACAGGGAAGTCAAAGTAAGTAGGCATGTTGGTATGTTGCGATCCATAATCACCCTGACAGTTCCTTTTTAAGTGAACCAGGTTGAACTCGGGGTTGTACAATGCAAAGGAATCATCCCCTGTGGCAATAGCGGTGGATTCACTATACCATACTAGCCGCATTCAATGAGAAATCCGTATCACTATTTGAATAGATCAGCTATTGTTTGGAAGTAGCCTAGAGGCATGGAACACACACAGACTCAGAGTTTCGCATCCACTGCCGCACCTTCAATTTACTAGCCTCCTTCACACGCAACTCTTCCGCCTCCGCTTGCCTCTGTCGTTCTGCAGCCATCAATTCAGGGGTCGTACCCTTCAATAACATGGAGAGTGCAAGAATATCATCCATCGCCTGAAGAATTTCAGGTGACGTGTCTATATCACCATCATCGCTGGTATGTGGAGGGGCTGGTGGTATCGGTATTGGCTCGTAGCTTTCCGTGAAACGTTGTTGCATCAAATTCTTGATTTCCTGTCCGGTTCCCCAGCGTTTGTAGCCAGCGACGCCGTACATGTAATCCAGAATGATGGTAGATGGCCGCGGTGTACCTGTGCCGCTCATACATGCATCAAACTGCGGTGTCGGTACATGGTAATTTGTATACACTTCAAAATGCTGCAGGGTGATACGACGCGACGGCATTGGGCCTGTTTCAACTGGAGGGACGTCGGCAGGTTGCAAAGCGAAGTTCGGTGTCTAAAGATCATCAGATAAAGAAAATTCAAAATCTATGTGCCTCACGCACCACTAAAAATGCACTACTCCCTGCTGCAAAAAGTCGATGCAAGTCCGGGCTCAAAAGCATTCCGTTCTCGACTGAGTTAATGCCCAGATCAACGGATTCTTCATTGAGGTCGTAAAGATGTTGACGGTCTTGAAGAACAAATTCAGTGTACTAGTAGAGGATTTAGCAAGACGGTGATGTTGAGCAAGGAAGATGTATACGTCATCCCCTTTGCTCTTGGGCAGTAGGTGTGCCGCTTCACAAAACTTGCCCGGCATCCTTGTAAAGACACACGAACCGTCTCGTGCGATTATATCACTACGGAAAGTTGAAGAGCACAGTGTTTGCGCAGAGAATGTTACTGGGTCGTCGATCGCGTGAAAATCAATGAGATGATAATCCCCTATGAAGAGAAACGTTAAGCAACGGGCAACAGATATGGGATTTATGAATATTACCTTCGGGAGCAAAGTAATATGCCTCTTCCATGTTATCGACGGTACTGGCGTCATAGTCGACAGGGGGGCCATTGGGCGTCGTAGTGAGATCTCCACGAACGCCACAAATTGTGAAGAGAAGAAACCGAAGCCACTTGACAGGATGCAGGGAAAGTCTCTCAATGTCGACAGAGGGGATGGAAAGTGCCAGGATTTGCCGGTCTTCGATGGGCAAGTAAATGTCCACCATGGCAATCAGAGTAAAGAGCTGTCACACTGAGACATACGCGAGGGAGCGAAAATATCTCATTTGCGACAACAGGAGAAGTCACGGTAGAGCTGCGACCGACAAAAGAGACGGTATGGCTGAAGCCGCGTGAAGATAAGGAAACGAAGCCACTTGACGGGGCGCAGGAAAGCCTCTCAAGATCTCAATGTCGACTTGGACGGAGGGGATTACGGTAGGCGGGAGCGCCGCGGTTCAATTTCGAAATTTGATTTCTGATTTCTGGGTTGAAGCGCGGTGATGGAGCCCTAACCCGAACCTATGTGCAGATTTTGACCTCTTTTCATGAGATAAAAAGGAGAAATTTCACTAAAGTTTTCTCAGCTCATGCCGAGGGAGGTGGAGAAGTGATGACAGGCACTGTACACGATTTAACGGGATTATAAATTTTATTCCTTAAACTAATATACATCAAATTATACTTAAATTCTAAGAGAGGGAGTTCGAGACCCTGGAATGTACCACCAAGAATCCTCACTGTCGACAGCCGAGTTTGGGTGCATCTGGGAGTCAACATGTGGACCAGGCGGCCGTGGTCGAGTGGGACGCGGTGGTGGCCTCATCGCAGAGGGTGCCGGCGTTTTCGCAGGGCTGGTTAGTGGGGAGGCGCGGGGTACGCACCTGGCTGCACGGTAGGTGCTGTATCCCCTGTTGTTTCACCAAGTGTGGGTCCTCGTCGATGGGCCGGATTCCGTCTGTAGGGGCATTTTCGTGGGCTGATTCCGTCGGCGTGGGTAGATGGCGGTTTTGTGGGTCTTCGGGCGTTCTCATGGGCGGTTAGTCGCAATCCGAGGGTTGCGTTTGCGAGGGGGGTCGATGTGGGTGGTCGTGTTTGCCGTGGCACATGGTGGACCGGTTCTCGTCACATTTGAAGCGAGGTATGCGTCGTCGGGTCGACGCAGCCGACGTGGGGCGAGGTGGGAGGAGCGCCCTGGCTTTGCCCTGGTGGGCGTTTGCCAGAGCGGTGAGGCGGGAGGTGATGGTGGTGTGCTGTTAGCAAATATGGGGCTGAACAGAGTGGGAGCTCACCTGAAGGGGCCCGCGACCGTTTTCTTGGTCCTGGTCTGTCATAGCGAGGGTGCAAGGTGGGCAGGAAGAGGCCGCGAAAGGTGGGGCACAGGCAAGCAAATGGTGGTGGTGGTGATGAGAAAGCGGTCGTGACAGGTGACATGGGATCATCACGCTCGTAACTTGTGGCGGAGTTTCGAATTTATGCGCGAAAATGCGAAATCCAAGCGAAATCTCGAAGAACGACTTGAGAACAACACATTGTTACCTGGTGTGTTGCTTCTCACATGATGTGTAGTTCTCCTCATCTCTGTGTGTGTGTCTCCCCTTGCGCGCGGCGATGCATCCGTAAGTGGAAAAGATAATCAACCAAATACTCTACGTGTAGGTCACGTGACCTACTTTATGGGTCAAAATCTGCACATAGGTTCGGGTTAGGGCTCCATCACCAGGGTTCAACCAAGAAATCAGAAATCAATTTGAACCGCGGCGCTCCCGCCCACCGTAGGGGATAGAGATTGCCAGAAATTGTTGAGCGGGTAAACGGCGATCATGGTGGGCTGCGATCAATAATTGCCCTGACGACATAGAGAGCCGACGGCTCCTTTTTGGCTGTGTATTCTTTTGAACCTTTCTCTTCCTTCTCCTTTCTTCTCTTTCCTATCCAAGTGACGACCACGCTTACCGGTCGTGATGAATACGTCCGGACGATACATTTTACTGGTTCTTGGTATCATTGTAAGCCAATGACACTTTACATACACAAAGAACTTCACTAACAGACTATCCATCCTTAGATATCCCTACACTACCTATTAAGCTTCACGCACGAATCCTATGGGCGCGCAACGTCACTTTCGAACATAAAGTCCACGCTTCTTGGGTCCCAGCAAGCGCCACCGACGGTTGCGGACACTTATTATGGATTTGGGCACCCAAATGACACGCTAGCAGTGGATCGCCGGGCCAATGCCACCTTTGTCATTTTGGCACGCAATAGCGATCTATCAGGGACCATTAGGAGCATCAGGGAGATCGAGGATAGGTTCAACAGGAAATATCGGTACCCATATGTGCTGTTGAATGAGGAAGAATTTACGGACGACTTCAAAAAGTGCGCTTTTCATATTTTGGCTTTTTGGAGGGCATCTGAAGTGACGGATTGTAGACGGATATCGGTGCTCACGCCGTCCACGGTGGAGTTTGGGCTCATTCCGCGCGAGCATTGGTTCCAGCCGGACTGGATTGACGAGGACAGGGCCACCAAGTCAAGGAATAAGATGGTTGCTGACAATATTATCTATGGCGGGAGTGTCTCGTACGTCGTTCGTTCCATTCCTGACACAGACATGGCTTAATCAAAGTGTAGTTACCGTAACATGTGTCGATTCAACTCTGGGGTACGCTCCTGTTTGTGTTCTGTGCTCATCAAAGGCTCACCTCGTCAACCATCAGTTTTTCTTCAGACATCCCTTGATGGAGAAGTACAGATGGTATTGGCGCATCGAGTGAGTGCATCTGTTACTTTTGGCAAGCCTGAAGTCGACAACTGACTGTACCACTCGTACCAGACCAGACGTCCATTTCCACTGCGACATCGACTTTGATCCATTCGTCTACATGGAAGACAAGAACAAAGTTTACGGTAACTATTCTCCATCTCAGTTTCAACTGGATATTAATTTCCACTTCCATAAAGCATTCACGATCACCATGTATGAATATGAAGCTACCATTCCTACGCTCTGGGGCCACGTTCGAGGTCCTCTCTCCCCCTATTTTTTTCTTACTGTTACTGACCTTGCAGCAACAGATTTTGCCAAGCTTCATCCTGAATACGTAGCAGAGAACAACGCTATGGGTTTCATGTCGGAGAACGGAGGCGAGAAATACAATCTATGCCATTGTGAGTCCCGTCCGCCCCCTTTATCTTGTTACCATGAATCCTAACGGGAAAAAAATCAGTCTGGAGTAACTTTGAAGTGGCAGACATGAACTTCTGGCGTGGACCCACATATACGGCCTTCTTCGAATATCTTGACTCAAAAGGCGGATTTTACTACGAGGTAACGTCTCACCTCGTCCCTCGGACTTGAAAGCTCACATCACGTCGGTAGCGTTGGGGAGATGCCCCAGTTCACAGTATCGCCGCTGCGCTGTTCGCCTCGCGTGACCAGATCCAATTCTTTGATGAAATAGGCTACGAACACAACCCGTACACGCATTGTCCAAAGTTGGGCAACAACTGGCAGAAGGGGAGGTGTTCGTGTGATCCTGCGAGGAGTTTCGGTGCGTTTTCATCAGATTCTAGGTGGAGTTCGTTGCTAACGTTTGTTGCAGATTATGATGGATACTCATGTATGAGTAAATGGGACCGGTTCATGGACCTCTGAATCTTTGTATTTTGCACCATTATAGAAAAGTTGAGAGCTACACCATACACTTGTGTTGGTTTTCGCTATGTATCCATTTGTCCATGCTGTGCACATGTATTCGCCCATAATTTATTAGATTCTTGAATCATCAATACCTCTCTGAAGCAGCAACCATCCCAAGGAAAATGTCGAGGTTGTGCAGAACGCGTTTTGTCACACTGTGCACGTGGCAGTTACGACATTCATAATTTCATTATCCGCACGTCCACGATCATCCTCTTGATCCCAAACCGCCAGCATGGCACCAGCTAAAAAAAAATTGTCTCGTGGAACTCAACCGGCTGGAGGCGATAAGCCAAGGTATGCAACTCTACTGACTTTCACTTGGTTTACTAATCGAATATGTCAATTTTACTAGTGATGTGGCAGAAACCACGTCGAAAAATCCTGACCAGAGCCAAGAAGGTGGGGACGAAAACGGTACGTTCCATTGCCTTGTGTCCGTTTGTAACTTGAGCTATAAGTAATACCTTACCTCACAAGATGTTGCCTCAAACCCGTCCCACAAGAGGACCTTTTCTAAGACGGATGACTCAGATCAACATGTTGCGGAGGGCTCTTCAGTTCCACCTTCGAACAAGAAAGCTAAATCTGACGCACCCGACACTCTATCAGCCCCTGACTCCGAAAACGAACTCGAAAGCTCTTGGAGCGACATTGATGAAAAGGACCTATTAGTGCCCATGACTCCCAATGGGCCCAACATATTCTATGGGTGTGCTGACGCCCTATTTGATTTATTCAAGACAGGCAACAGTGACGAAAGCGCCCTTTGGCCCAAACCGAAGGTCATGGATGCTTACCGTTCATTGCCCGATGATGAAGACTATGATTCGTCAGCTGAAGATGACGACGACGAGTCTGAAAGGGAAGATTTTGACATACCCTGTCTGTCCATTCTCTGCGACCCAAAAGATCTCGAGACTCCCGAGGCAAAGCTCTTGCAAAGTCAATTCGAGGCAGATAGTGATAGATCATGGTATGAAGTGACTCTTACACGTCACTTGCCTGCAGACGCTCCCAAGAAATTGCGAGTCGATTTGGAAGCTGGTTATTATGGTATGCGAACCGGAGTGGTTGGTGAGCAAAGTCTAGGCAAATGGTGGATAACGGACATCTCAGTGGCGAAGGGGGAGTCAGAGGAGGCAATAACAACTATCCTTGAGAAAATGTTCTAGAAACGACTGACCATCACCTTAATATGAAAATGTTGGACTGGCATTAGGTATCCAACTTTCTTCCATCAGTGACCTCGAAATAAACATCTAAATGGCTGGAAATTTTTTTTGAGTTTGTAAACCAGAGTTGACTCGGACAACCTTGAACCACCTCGAAACCCCCACTTCCCGCCCGACCTCTTTAAGTTTGAGTCTTGAATTATTAAAAATCAGTCTCTTGATGTTATCACAAATGTGAACAATCTTTGTTGATAATGGACAACGCCTTTCTTAGGCAGCACCCATTGCCGAAACGTAAATGTCATCGAGGACCGAGGTTGTCTTCGAAGCAGAACGCGTTTGTCACGCTGTGCACGTGGCCGTTACGACATTCATTATTCGCGCTGGTTGTCATTCCAGGGTCGTCCTCTTGATCCCAACCGCCAGCAGCCGCCAGCATGGCACCAGCTAAAAAAATTCTGTCTTGTGAAACTCAACTGGCTGAAGGTGATAAGCCAAGGTAAGCAACTCTACTGACATTCGCTTGTGTTGCTAATTAAACAGGTCAATTATAGTGATGTTGTGGCAGAAACCACGTCGAAAAATCCTGAAGAGAGCCAAGAAGGTGGGGACAAAAACGGTACCTTTCATTGCCTCATGTCTACTTGAGCTGTAAGTAATACCTTACCTTACAAGATGCTGCCTCAAAACCATCCCACAAGAGGACCTTTTCTAAGACGGATGACCCAGATCAACCTGTTGCCGAGGGCTCCTCAGCCCCACCTTCCAGCAAGAAAGCTAAATCTGACGTACCTGACACTCTATCAGCGCCTAACTCCGAAAACGAACTCGAAAGTTCTTCGCGCGACCTTGATGAAGAGGACCTAGTGACCTTAACTCCCGATGGACCCAATGTATTCTATGGGTACACCGACGCCCTATTTGACTTATTTGAGACAGGTGGCAACAACGATGGCTTTTGGCCCAAGTCAAAGATCATGCATGCCTATGGTGCGTTGGCTGAAACCGACGATATTGAGCGCATGCCATGTCTATCCCTCTCCTGTGACCCAAAAGATCTCGAGCCTCCCCAGGCAAAGGCTCTGAAAAGTGATTTCGAGGCAGATGATGGATGGTGGTACGAAGTGACTCTAACACGTCACTTGCCTGCAGAGGCTCCGAAGAAATTGCGAGTCGATGTGGAATGTGGTTTTTATGATGTTCAGGGGGGAGTGTATGGGAAAAGTATAGGTGAATGGTGGATAAGTGATATCTCAGCGGCAAAGGGAGAGTCGGAGGAGGCGATGACAGCTATGATTGACCATGTGCTCCAGGGATGACTGATACCATCCCTCTATGAAACTTTTAATTTCAGCCTTGCAGCACTAGGTGATACTTGCCTTGTCGAAGGATTTGCGAATGGGTCTCCAACTTGCTTCCATCGGTGACCGCGAAATAAATGTCTCTATGAATGAGAAACAGGACTTCATAAACCAGTGTCAACATGATAATGGGAACTCGACAGAATTATGTAGCAGTAAATAGTCATGACAACCACCTCGAAACCCCCATTTCCCGCCCGACCTCTTTCAAACAATCTCTAGCCATTGTCCTCGCGTCAAGCTCGATTGGAGCGTCTGTGTTATTCGTGTGGCCATTACCAGCGACTCCATTCGACTTTACCACGCTCGAATTTTGCGTTGGCGTTTGAGGAGCAACAGGAAGAAAAGGTTGCCTTGCAATCCACGCTGCTGGGGTTTGCCGCGGTATTGACGCGATTTCACACAGTACTGGATAGAAGTGGAATAGGTGTGCTATTGTTGAACGTTTGACTACATCCGCAACGAGGTCCGAGGACGACAGGTACTGGGATATGGCTGCTGGGTCTTAGCTTTTATTGAAATCGATACAAGATCTGGAATATACCTGGCTGTTCGACGCAATAAGCTGTGGGAGTGTCCGACAATGCCGCCCATAATGAGCCACGCCACAATCTTAGAGCCAAAAGTTTGCGGAGAACATATAGAAGTTCCTCTTCTCGTGCCCTAAAGACACTTCAATCAATCACCGGACACAAAGTTGGCATATGTCTGCGCACCTTGGAAAAGGCAGACTTCCTCGTAGTGATTCATCTGCGACATAACCAACCAACGTCGTTCGGCACCGATTGATCAGTAGTGGGAGACTTAACGCCGCAAGTCGCTTCCGAGAATTTTCTTGGTCTGTCCGGAAACTTCAGATTGAAGGGATAAGCTGCAAGGCAAGACTAAACACACCTTTCGTGGTATCTGAGCAGATCAGAAAAAGAAGGTCGAAACACCAATATGAAAATCTCTCTCGGGGAACCAGAGAGCCAAAGTCGGTGCTTCCAAGATCGTACTTGTCCTCCTCCACAACGAGCTTCAAGGGCTTGCTGCTCGTCGGGCTTTCCGTTGGGCGACTTACATAGACCAGGCTACCCCGCTGTAAGATGCTTGCCAGCCGCGAGACCAAATCGTCAGGGACTCTACTGTCCCCAAGGTGTGGGACGACGTCAATCTCAAGAGACGCAATAAGAGCGAGATCAAAATTCTCCTCCTCTTCCTGAGCAGCAAGCGGGAATGATTCTGCCGCGGTACTGGAGTAGACAGAGGTCATTAAAAATCAAACCTCAGAGCAGGGTTGAAACGACGTACCAGTCAGCTAGGATGCCCCCACGGAAAACGTCTAAGACTTGTCGCCAAATGCCTTCGACCCGCTCATCGGATATATCTAAATCAAAGAGTTAGTAAGCGATCTCATCTGTAAGGATCGAAGGCGAACCTGTCCCCAAAGCTTTAATCTGATGAGCGCATTCTTTCACGATGCGCAGGAAACACGTAGTCGCCGTCTTCCAAAGAGGTTGGTCCTTTCCAAACTTCGACGGAGCGGGGCAGTCATATTTCAGCTTGACGGGAATGGAGTAGGCCTTCACCATCATTAGCATTAGATGGATAATTAGATGAACTGGTAGCGCAACTTACAGAAAGCACAGCTTCAAACGTCCCGTCAACATAGATTTCTGGATCAGCCTTGAACTGCATGAGAAGATCTACAAGAAGGGGCATCGTTTTTTTGGAGAGTGCTATATAAGTAACGCGTTTTTGAGGCGTTTGTGGAGTCTGACTCTTGGGTTGCGGTTGCACGTCAAAGCCAGCAAGGAAAGCCAGTGTTGCATATTCTGAAAGGTCCCTGATAACGAGAGAAGGCGATCCTTTTGTGGTGAGGTCGATGTTTGTGATTGTGTCCATTACAACAGCCTAGAGATTATGATTAGCGGGGATCAGATGTAATGAAGGTAAACACGTACCTGGACAGGGGGAAGAACATCAATGTCTGGCCTGTAATCAGGTGAGTTGGGATAAGTGAGTACACCTGATGGGTAAGGATTGAGAGGCGGCTTTGAGGACAATCAAGCCTTGCTAACCTTTGAGTACAGCCATCAATCGAGTCAACTTTTCCAGATTCCATTCCTTGCCAGTAAGTGTGCGGCTAGTCTTTCGAGTACTTTGTATAACGTCGACAAAGGCAACCAAACTTTCTTGGGTAAGTGGCTGAGGCTGAATAGGGGCCCCTTCCGCGACTGGAGTACTTGATCTCTGTATCACCGTGCTTCCCAAAACGTCAATGGCCTCCCAGACACGCTGAAGAATTTCAGTCAATCGTGGTTTGAGCACGCCTTCAGCACTTGCAGAGGCTTTGATGGCCTTTTCCAAACAACGAAGAGCAGGGGCGCTAATCGACCGATTATCCAGCAGGACAGACTTTTGCACGTGTCCAACGAAGACATCCCAGGCCTTGGTAAATGAGTCGAGGTGCATGATTTTTGAAACAAGGAAATCGTTGAAGAGGGAGCCAATTGAATGTAAGGCTAAAATCTTCGACTCGTCCCAGGCCTGCACTTTCGACAATTCGCCGGCGCCAGGCTCGTTGTACGATTGTATTTCTGTAGTGAGAGATTCCAGAAGCGGGAACGTGACTTTCCATATACACTGGTCCCATGTCTCAGAGCTTAATGTTGAACCATAGAGTTGCATGGTACGGAAAAGGGTCTGGATGGCCCCGTCACGTACTTCTGACCTAGCATCCGTGCAGAGGCCCAGTACTTCCAAAAGTAGGAACATCCAAAGTTCACTATACTCCGGTTCTTCGTCAACGTTTTTCCGTTTGGATTGGATGGCGTCCGACACGCTCCACAACAAACTGGCAGCAGCTGTCAAGGCGATGTTGGTATCTGCCTGTCGCCCAAACTGTCCCAAAGTGGTGATGCACAGGCGGAGATGTTCGGGAGAGAGAGAGGAAACGGAGTCGCAGACCAATGTCAACGACTGGAAGGCAATCTTAACAAGGGCGGTATAACTTTTTTCGCTAGGGTTGCCTAGGCCAAGTGGGAGTGGCTTCAATCGTGGCGTTGACGGTGGTGTACTACTTAAAACAGATAGCGAATCCACAGATCCTGATCTCAGGGGAGTAGCAGGTCGACAGACACTCTCCAGCATTTGAAATATAATTTCCCAACCAACAACGAGTGTGTGACCAGAGGCTTGCAAGATATGATGCAAAGTTTCCATGCCCATGCGGCGAAGCTCGACACTTGTGGACGTATCATGGCTGGACAACGCGGCGTCTGGTATGATTTGTTGGGAGAGGACCTCGAGAACACGTCGCTGGACTGGTCCTTGCATGTCTCCTGTGCTGGATAGATTACGCGGGACAATAAGCAAGATTTCATCCAGAACTCTGGCGGCCTGGACCCGGATAGCTTGTGGTGCGAACGGAAGTCGAATGATCAATAGAAGGTGGGATGTCGTCGTGTTCCAAGCGACATCCGGCGATCGGTATATCAAGCGGTGTATGTTAAGCAGTGCAACGCCTCCAAGCTTGGATATTCCGAAATCTCCTGTACGCTTTATAGTTGTTCAAATCATTGAAAATTCAACACTTTTAGGGGGGTAATCGCGTACCTGCGTCTTTGGAAGATGAATTCCACTCATCCGTCGTCGTTGGGCAGGTTCTAACTTTGGCATTATCAAGCTATGCGTACTGCCTGTCTCATCCACGATCTCCAGCGATGCGCGAGCGGAAGGCCCACCCTCAACTTGCATTCCGACCATCTCTCCACTAAGCTTACAAAGGGCGTTGATGAAGTCCTTGAAAGCGGGATCTTCCAAGTTCTTCGAAGAATCGAATAGCCTCTGTATTGCGTTTAGCAGGGTTTCACTATCCAAGTCCGTTAGAAGCGGGTGACGAGCCCCAGTTGTAGGTCCCGAGAGAGTTTGAGAACCCGAAGTCGACACCGAGCGACTTGCAGATGCACCAGTGGCACCTCCAATTCCGACGGGGCTGAACATGCTTGCGCGCTTGTTTGGGGTCGAATGTGCATTGGCGACTCTAAATGTCAGAACGTAGTCCGCATTCTGCAACGCCTCCAAGATCCCGTACCAGCTCTCCCCAAGGCTACCAGCCAAAAACATGGCACTGCCCACGAAAACTTTTAGACAAGCCATGTTCCTTTCGGAGAGGCCTGGAGGTTGTGTAGGAGGAGCACCCAGCCCTAATCCTTCGGATAACGCAGCCGTCGCTGATCGAGGTGTTTGAGGTGGCTCATTATACGAATCCAGGCTGGACACAACACGAGCAGGGACAGAGAACTTTGCTAAGCTGTTGAAGAATGCATCGCGAGGAGTTGAGAGCCCAAGCATTCCTGAGACATTGGTCATCGCTTGGTAGCTGGCTAGGACCTCCACGAAGAGCTCGTCAGAGAGATTAGTAGAAATGATAAAGGAGAGCGCGGCTAGAAGGGCAGGCCATCCGTTCGAAATGATATCTTGAATAATTCGAAGTTGTTTTGTTTGTTGATCATCTTGTGGGAGTGTAGAAAGGTCGAGTGCTGGTGGTGCACGAACCATTGGCTCCCCTGCGCGTGGGCGTTGTACCACGATTGAGCCGTACAACGGTCCTGCATAGGAAGCGAGTCCTTCGCAGAGCGAGACTATGCACTGGACGCCTAGCAGGTAAATGTATGACTCTGGGATGGGAGGGGCGTCTGCCTTGTCCAACTGGTCAATGCTTGAGAGGGGTTAACGAATGAGGGTGGCGAAAGATCGGAACCATACCATTGCAGCTTCATCGACGACCCTTGGAGACTCAACCCACCTCCACCGGACCCAATCATGCCTACAACCCCAGAAACCGTTGCACTCGCAACCCTTCCTGCCATGTCCAACCCATAACCAGCACCAGAGGTTCCGCTGTCCTGTTGTACGCCAATTCCTCCCATTTGAGATCCACTACCGAGTAATGAGGGTTTCTCCGTAACAAGTCTCTTCAGTGCGGTGATAAGGTCGGTAAACACCTTGGACCCCGTATCCCCCACTGAATCATACCGTTCCCATACATTTCGCATGAGTTCTGCATCGCTGCATAAACTATGGACGCCTCAGACAACGAAACTTGAGGAGACGAAAGGAAACGACTCACCCTCTCATAATCTCCATGGAAAGGACCCTCATCCATGGTGGTCTCGCACCGTGGATATGATGGTGAAAGTGATACTCCGCAGTACCAGTTTCGGCACTACCGTCTTCCGTGATTATTCTTATGAGAAGCATCAGAAACACCTCTGCCTCCGTCTTCAATTCTAACGAAAACTGTTTGAGCATCAGGAAAACTACACGCGTGCATCGCAGGATAAGTGAGAACATTGGTTTTTCTGAAAGGGCCTTGAGTAGAAGTGGACATAGATGATGTTGGAGAAGCATGATGAGCTCTGCATGCTGTGGAATAGGAATTGAGTGACATCATTTCAAACAATCCAAAAGGAACTGACTTTACGGAACAGTGCATGGTAGTTGGTAAGCACACTTTCGATGAGCTCAAGGGCAAACGTCTTGTGGAGAAATTCAAGTTTCAAAAAATGGGGGGTCTCTGAATTGGCGAGGAGACAAAGATCCTCAAAAACAGAAAAGGCATCGTGGGCAGAAGGGCCGAGGGATTTAGTGGTACCGTCTGGAAGCTGAATTTCGAGGAGTTGCGAGGGTGGTAGGTCGTCGTTCTCCATTATACGATCTTCAAGAACCATTTTATCGACTACAAACATGACAAGCTGGCGAAGGGTGGCAGCAGCAGTGGACGAAACCACAGCAATCCGAGACTCCTGAAGCTTGAAACATAGTAAAAGCGCCTATGGAGATGATAAAGATACGTCCCCAATTATTCGCAAAGGAGTAAGATGTTACGCACATCTCCGAGTAGGTCTCCATGTATGGATGGAAAATTCGGTACGAGAGATACGAGGGTCTGCAAGATACGCAGCTGAATGTCGACTCCTTGAGATACTGCATCATTCATTGTGTTAATGATCATGGGGACTGCAGATTCGGGTACGGCTTTGAGGGTAATGAGGCGCTGTAGGGAGCCGAGAGATATGGCGACAACCTTTGCGTTCTTGGTAGCGCAACCCATGAAGACGGGCCTGAGAAGGTCATCCGATTGTGGGCCATCTTAAAGTAGAAGATGAAGAGGTCGGCTCAGCGCCAGATATTAAGGCGACGAACCTGAGGCCAAACTAGCTGTAGCCTGTTCCGGAGATGCACGGAGGATAGCAAGTGATTTCTCTGCTGCCTTTCAACCATGCCCTAAATTAGCCTCCTTTCTCCATTCTCTGATATCGTAAAACAAAGACCTCGCGTATCTCTGGGTGCTTCCTTCGCGTTTCACTGGCCAAAGACTAGGCGATGATTGTCTCAGCAGCTCCCCTTGCCCTATTATATTGAACAGGCTTACCTGAAGCTCTGTCAAAAGAAAAGCGAGAGAGCTCATGATCTAGTTGCAGAGCTGGAAGAGCCTGTGAGAAAGGTAAACTTTAAACGCAGGCAAGATCACAAGTACTTACCGGTTACCGTTCAATATTGCAATATCAATACCCGTTTAAACGATGACGCAATGACACACTGCGGATATCTACACGCACAGTCGAATTGTGTTAGTTATACGTTGTTCAACGTCCGGGTGTGTGCGTAAATAGACAGTATGAGGCGCGCTTAGACTCGAAGCGTGGTTGAATTTCCATGCTGCGTCACTCTCGAAGTCCTTGCCAAATACACGCACACTCAGAGAAGAGAAAACGAATTTTGAGAGAAAAGTGCAAACTACAGGGATGGACAGTTGAGAACAATTGCAAAAATATGTACAGAGTGGATAGGTAGAGTACCAAGTCCTTTCGTCATTCAACATCAAGAATGGTTCCATGGAGGTGCTGAAGAGGTCGAGAGAACAGTCCCCCCTGCTTACATCAACGCCAGGAAACCACCAAGAACAACGGCGGCTGGTACGACGAGAGCTTGTATCTGGGCTGAAGTGGCGCCGCTGGCATGGGTAGGAATGACATTGCCGCTTGAACTTGAGCTTGAGCTGGAGGTGGATTTTGTTGCATCAGTTCCTGTGACGGCGGTCGCGGTCTCCTTGGGAGGTGAAACGGTGGTACCTGCTGCAACCGATGTCGCGATGGAGGTTTTCGTGGTCGAAGTGACTCTCAGGGATGTTGAGGAAACAATAGGGGTTGCAGTGGTGGCACCGCCGGATGAGGTCTTGACTGGAGGAATGCTGAAAGCAGGGCAAGCGTCGTCAAAGTCTTTCAAGACGCGTCAGAAGCGAACTTCTCGTAAAAAGATCGGATGAGACGCGTACCGCTGATCAGCTTGTTCTCATCGGTGAGCAACTTTGGAGTTGGCTGTTCTGCGTAGAGGCAGTTGAGGCAGGTTGAAAGGGCATCTGCGAATGCGGCAGTACACAAGCATGAGTCGTCGGGGCAGGCCTAAACCAAGTTGTCAGATACTGAAAACTGAGAGAAAAAACATGGTACGGACATTGATATTGCTATCGACGGTACTGCACGTGGGACAACCATCTGTCGAAAGTTGCCTCGCGGAAAGTTGTTGAACGAATGGACTCCTTGGCACTAGTGCCACAGCTGTGAGTAGGAGACGTGTAAACCTTTCACGATGGAAGAACTGAAATGAGCAGCGTGCATACCATGGCTCGCCAAGAGGGTCAAGGAGACGAGAGTGACAGTGGAGAAGTGCATTGTTCAGGACAAGAACAAGGAAAACGAAAGCGACAAAAAATATGAGTGCCTCATATAACCTGTCGTTCCGCACCGACCTCAAGTAGGATTTCTGATCGACAGCCTGACACTTGGGTACATCCGTCCATCTCCAGCCATGAGTCCATCTCGAGGCATGCCAAGCAGCTAAGAGCGTTTAGAGCGCTAAACTCCGAGTCTGAAAGCGCTGAAGACGTTCACGATGGAAGAACTGGAATGAGCAGTGTGCATACCATGGCTCTCCAACAGAATCGAGGAGACGAGAGTGACGGTGGAGAAGTGCATTGTTCAAGACAAGAAGGAAAACGAAAGCGACCAGAAAGATGGGAGCCTCAAATGAAATCTGTCGTTCCGCACCAACCTCAAGTAGGATTTCTGAGGGACAGCCCGAGTTTTGACTACATTCGTCGATCTTCAGCCATGCCAAGCAGCCAAGGCCGTTTACAGTTACAGCGCTAGACTCCGAGTCTGTAAAGCGCTGTAAACATTCAGGATGGAAGAGCTGGAATGAGCAGTGTGCATACTAGCTCGCCAAGAGGATCGAGGAGACGGGAGTAACGGTAGAGAAGTGCATTGTTCAGGACACAATGAAACGTAAGGAAAAAAAATGGGCGCCTCAAATAGATCTATCGTTCCGCGCCAGCCTCGAGTAGGGACAGCCTGTGACTTGAGTACATCCGTCCACTTGCAGCCATGCCAAGCAGCCAAGGCCGTTTACACCGCTAGACTCTGAGTCTGTAGCGCGCTGTGAACGTTCACGATTGAAGCATTGGGATAAGCAGCGCGCATACTTTTGTTCGCCGAGAGGATCGAGGAGACGAGCGTGACGGTGGAGAACTGCATTGTTCTAGACAAGGACAACGACAAGGAAAAACGAAAGTGACAAAAAATGTGTCAGGACTATAGGTCATGTGATCGATCACTTCGTAGTGTAGGGTTACGGTATAACTAGAAGCAGATTTTGAGAGCCATGTGCAAAAATACAGGGATGGACAGTTGTGAACAATTGCAAATATATGTACTAAAGAGTGGATAGGTAGAGTCCAAGTCCTTTCGCTATTCAACTTCGAGAAAGGATGAAGGTGCTGAAATCCCCCCAGCTTACATCATCGCCAGGAAACCACCAAGGACAACAGCGGCTGGCACGACGAGAGATTGACATTGTGCCGAAATGGCGCCACTGGTAAGGCCAGGAATGACATTGCCGCTTGAACTTGAGCTGGCGCCGGCGGTGGTTGATGCACCATCCGCTGTAACTGCCGTCACAGTCACCTTGGGAGGTGAAACGGTGGTGCCTGCTGCAACCGATGTCACCGTGATGGGGGTGTTCGTGGTCGACGTGACTCTCGGGGCTGTTGAAACAACAGTGGTGACTGCCGTGGTGGCACCCCCGGATGAGGTCTTGACGGAGATTGCAGGAAGAGTGAAAGCAGAGCAAGTGTCCTCAAAGGCTTTCAAGACGCGTCAGACGCGAAATTCACGTAAAAAGAATGGATGAGACGCGTACTGCTGATCAACTTGTTCGCAGAGGTGAGCACGGCTGCCGTTGGCGTGTTTGAGTAGTAGCAGTTGACGCAAGTTGAGAGGCCGTTTGCTACTGTGGCGGTACACAAGCATGTGGTGGTGGTGCAAGCCTAAACCAAGTTGTCAGATACTGAAAACTGAGAGAGAAAAACACGGTACGGACATTGAGGGCGTCATCAAAGATACTGCATGAGGCTGTACAAGCATCTGTCGTTTGCCTCGGGAAAAGCTGAACGAATGGACTCCTCGGCACGAGTGCCACAGCTGTGAATAGGGACGTGTAAGCCTTTCACGACGGAAGAACTATGATGAGCAGCGTGCATACCTTGGCTCGCCAAAAGGATCGAGGAGACGAGGGTGACGGTGGAGAAGTGCATTGTTCAGGACAAGGACAAGGAAAAGATGGGAGCCTCAAATAAAATCTGTCGCTCCGCACCAACCTCAAGTAGGATTTCTGATGGACAGCCTGAGAGCATCCGTCCATCTCCAGCCCTGCCAAGGCCGTTCAATTATCGAATATCTGGGCGTCCAGATGAACGGGAACCAGACTCTCACATTGAAATTGCACACAGCCTCGAGGTTGTCGACGCGATGAGCTGCATCCAGCATCGAGCTTGCATCGTTTGCTCATTGTAACTTTCAGGATGGAGGTGAAGAAGGGTTGAAAGATCCGCGGCAATTGATTATTGATTTGCTTGATCTTGCTCCTATACCAACACCTCCGCCGAAGTATATCCACGAATGCACTTTTCTTTCATAAGTGTCCTTTATTCAGGAGCCAGAGTCACCGCCATAGCACCTACATGTCGAGGCTGAATGGATGAGGAACAACGTTGAGCGCAATTTCTCCGCATTCGGACAACGAGTTACGACACTCCTCCTTGTTCCTTTTTCCGCTGATGGCGCATTGCCTCAATTATCGTCGCCCTTGGCAGGCACCGCCCATACCCTTGGGGTCGTGAGCGGGTGCCCCGTGCGTGTCCAGGTTTTGGGAACGACATAGACGCCCAGGATCACTGCATCGCGACGAACACAGCTGACCTTTGCTTCTGAGCCCACCAACAGCTGACCTTTACTTCTGAGTCCACACCCCGCCAAATCCCCGCCATTCCTGGCAGTCCCCCCACGAATCATGGCCACACCTGCAACGAAATCCCTTTTTTTGCTCTGCCTCTCCTTGGCGGTCTTGATGCCTGCGAGGCTCGCGGCGGGTGAGTCATCACAGTCGACTGCGTCGGCCCAGTCGTTTCTTGAAATGACGACCTCATCCAGCGAACACCCTTCCTTCACCAAATCTTTTGGCGCGCGATGGAGTTATCCAGAACATTCAAGCGAGAAATCTGTCGACCTGGCTGGACAACATCCCATCACAGGTACGGTAGCCTTCGTCGAACGCATGAAAAAACCCTCCCATGCAATTCGCCACCCCCGTTGTCTAGTGCCAAGTCCAGTGCGATGTCGTTGTCGGAGCTGCACACGTAAGTTGGTTCCGGTGATCTATATGCTCCGCACTCATCGCAACCTCAGAACTGCCAATACCTGAGTTGCGTTTGCACGACCACGAACGCGGAAGACCTTGTCACATGCGCAAATTGTATCGTCGCGTTGAACCCCGGACAGCCTGGTATCGTGGCCACGAACCAAGCAATTCTCGATGGTTCGTCCGTTTTTTTCTACTTGTTTCTTTTGGTAGACTTACTTTCCCATCGCCTGCAGAGTGGACCAACTCCTATTGCGCGGATTATCCAACACCCCCTCTCTATATAACACCCCCCGGTGGTTCGTCGTCGTCATCCTCGGCCAGCGCATCAGCTACATCATCCGGGTCTGGTTCTCTTGCTACCTCCGTGGTGAAGAGTGGTGCTCCATCACCTCGTGCTATCTATATACCGTCGCTGGTGTTTTTGGTGATAGGCGTTTTCATCACTGATATACTATGAGCACGTCATTTGCTCAAACGCGGAAGTCACCGACCTATAGGCTCATGGTAACGATGATAGGAACTTATTAGACGGTGAAGGAACCAAGGGACCCTTTAACTATACCAACCGCTGAATCTCAGCTAGCTCTGATCTACACCTGTCTCAGTCCTATATCTAAATATCTTCTTCCATCTGATCATAGTGTCCACATAACGTACATAACGTTCTCCTAGCAAGATGTCCAACACGCCCCCCTCAACGCTATCACGCCGTGCGGTAATCAGGGTTAAGCATCCTCCGCATGGCATAGAGCTGATTTGTCTCCTACTCTTCCGAGGGTAAAGTGCCTCGGATATCATTCGAGCTTAGGTGACCATCTGCGAATCGAGCTTCAACGACTCCTATCTTCACCCCAATGGAATCGGAGTGTGAAGAAAGGAAGTCTACTTCTTGAGCCTACATCGTTGCTTCGCTGATCGAACAGTGGCCGGTCTCCCTGTGGCAGTAACGCTGTATGTTGATGATGCTGACCGTGTCGCAGAGCTAAGTGCCGTAGTTGTTGAAAATGCCGACCGTGTCGCAGAGCTGAGTGCCGTAGTTGTTGAAAATGCCGTGGATGACGTTGAATTTGAGTTGACCGATATGGAGGTCCCATTGGATGTACCTGACGCTTGTACGGATGTTGACGTCGCATTAGAGGTACCTGTCGGAAAGACACTGGACGACGATGATGATGTCGGAATCGTCTGGTTGACGAGCGAAAGTTGTGCCACTGGATAGCCAAAACATGCGTCCGCAAACTCTACAGGGTCCGCGCAAAGTGAGTAGGGTAATCTTACAGGTAGTACGCAACGCACCATCGAATGCCGCTTGCACCATGTTATAATTATCGCCTAACGTCGTTGACGACGACATGTTATACAAACAGTTCACGCAAGTTTGCAGGTCCCGTCCATTGGGAATCAGACAAAGACAGGATGGTTGAAAACACGACTATGTCATGTTGAGAACTTCTTTATCCCCCCGGGAGTAGGAAGGACTTACGTCTAACAGAGTTGTACTATTACTGCACGCCGTTGAACACTGGTAGAACGGAGGTGGTTAGTCTCTGAGAACCAGTGTGGCATAGTCATGGTACCTCGTTGGGTATAGACGCTGAGAGGGGCACTGTTGGTGTCGCGACTCGATATCCCATTGGAGTCTGGCTTTTCCGAAGGTAGCAAATCCCGGAGCGGGCTGTAATTATTATGCATCAATTCGATTACTCAATGTCGCAAGAAACGACGACTGACCAAAGGAACGATGCACCGAAGCGAGAATAAAAATAGCCATTGCCACGGACTTGAAGATCATGTTCGAAGACATGGTGCACGTTGAACTGGCAAGCAGACGACTAGGTCACGTCGTTTTTGATGAGTGGCCTCAGTTCTCTGGCACTCCAGGGTATAGCCCTTGTGGTTGGGAGGATACTATCAGTGACCAGGAGTTTGATATGCTTCAGGAGTTTGAAATCCCTGATTTCCTCTCTTAATTTTGACACAGGCTTTCTGGTATTTTTTTCTGGACTAATTATGACTCTTACAAATATGAATATCAACCTTTTTTGTGCAACAACCGAGTCTGACGAGCTCAAGATTTTAAAAGGTGGTTTTTGGCGCATCAAAACCGTGATGTATGCAAATGATTTTCAAGATCTAATCCGATCCTTTGCATTAGGGTATCTAAAAATTTACAAGCATGTACTAGTAAACGACGCGACTTCAAATACAAAAAATTGAGCAGAAAGGTGAAGAACTATGCTTATAATCCAATGAATTTCGATTCTTTGTCTGCTGAGCGTGACAGACGTGATTTTGGGCTGCGTGGTTTTGAACCCTGACAGTCGCATCACCTATCAAAATTCTGACAGTTGGATGTGACTTGGACGTGACAGCCATTTCAATCTCCTGAAACAATCGACTTCGATGACCGGTAAGCCTCCGTCAGCTTCCACCACTGTTCAATAAAAAAACTAAAAATATATTCATGTTCATGAGATACACATTCACCACCACACAAAATTTGGAGGCCCGGAGTGTAGCGGTTGTGGCATAATTCAGCCAAAGGTCAAATCGTTTCAAACTCCTGGTCACTGATAGTACAACATGAACTGATTGAACTGCGGAAGCCTCATGTTCTGATCCGGAGTCACAAGTCCGTAATTATTGACTGAAAGCATTCATCGTCAAGCGTACACACTTGCAACTTCCATCGACATCCAACTTGCATTCAACATCGTCTTATTCCTTTTCTCTGTGCCAAGTCTACCCTGCACGATTTAGACCAACTGAAAAGAGGATGACAGAGATCTCTTGAAAGATCTGCTGACAAGAAGGAACACAGGCCATGGTGCCATGTCTGGAACCAAAAAGATGCCCGATTTGGACATAATTCTCGAAGCGGTAGTCCCATCAGACCCTACTTTCCATTTCAGAATTTATGTCTATATCCGGCTTATTGTGAACGAATTAGGCATCTTTTACGTGTGACATCTTGCTTGAGTCACACGATTACTAATACTAATTCTGCACACTCAACATGTATCTTGCCTGTTACTGCACCAATTTCTGTTGTTGAACATGCAAAGTAGCACTAAAAAAATAGGCCATTGCAGAGGTACTCATATTGAGAAAGATCACAAGGCAGAAGATGTCAGATCACAAACAAAATCAAATGGAAGAAACATTTGTATCCCTCCATGGTGTCTGGTTCTCACCTACTCAGGATCCTCATTTCGAACCTATGGCTCCCTGGTTATCAGGAAAGGTCAATTGTAAGAATAATTTCTATAAAATGCATGAGCACTTTGAATTTTTTACTATAAATCAACTAAAAAAAGTGGCAAAATGAATAGATAAAAGGAGGAAAATCTAGCAGAGGATTCAAGCACCAAGCTATGCTGCAGAGTTCTTGAACCATTTTTATACATTTATAATGAGAGCATGGGGAATCAACATCACTGACAGCCCTGGGGAAAGAAAATTTGGAGAAAAGTAAATATGTCTGGACTCTCAGCAACAGGTATTGCATCAATTTCCTTGGCATCCCTGTCCTCAGGCATGGTTATATATGTTGAGTAAAACCTCCAAGTTTACACCCAGAGGAGCCTTCAGCAGAGAATTTCTCCTATTTCTTTTGGCCAAAATGCACAAGGTAAATTTTTACAGTGGAAAGCACTACTAGGACTATCCAGTTCTACTTCAAGAAAAAAAGAGGTGCATGGTCTGCTTTGATTTTGCAAGAGAGGATCATATGTATGCATGTGCAGGAAGAGGTGGAAGGGGAAAATGTCAATTCTCATGAACTCTTCCCCAATCTATTGGTTTGAGTTATATCCATACTTTCTGGTGTTTATAAATTTCTAAGTGGTGGTGTGAGATTTTTGGTGCATAAAAATGTAAATAGGAGAGTAAGAAGAAGTCAGAGCAAACATATTTTTGAGAAAAGAAATTACACCCTGTAGCAATTGAACTGGAGACCTCACCATACATTTTCAGTCTTGATCAAATCTTTCCGTTGAGCTAAGTCACCCTTTTAAATAAAATAATTTATAGTGCACAAGTTATGGAGTTTTTGATTTTGATTCTTTTTAAAATTGGTTCCAGACATGGCACCATGGCCGGAACACAGAAGCTGACGAATCTCATTCATGACGTGCCTGCTTGGTCACCTCAATCATAATGGCGCTATAAGACTGTCCCATGGACAACCTCTCGTCTGCACATACCCTGAAGTCTTCTCGAAATAAAGCACGTACACAATGGCCACACAAGCAGCAAAACGCGTTTTAGTAGTTGCAGGTATGCCTTAACTATGTCTCGAGATATCAAGGACGCGTCTGACGAAGCAAACGCATCGAACAGGTCTAGGAAATGGATCTGGTACTGGCGCTGCAACTGCGTAAGTAGGCCACTTCGTGACAAGTGATTATTTGCCGATACTCATCTAATTATCAGCCGTCTGTTTGCAAAGAAAGGGTTCAACGTTGCTCTTATCGCACGCGGTAAAGACATAGTCGACAAGCTCTCTGAAGAGATCAAGAGTTCGGGAGGGCAAGCGGCGCCATTCGCCGTGGAAAGCTACTCAGCCCAACACATCGCCTCAGCTTGGGGTGCCATTCGAAACCACTACCCTTCCCCAGAATACAACATCCGCGCCGCCGTTTTCAACGCGGGCTACGGAGTCTGGAAGCCCTTCCTCGACATCACCCCAGAAGAAGTGCAAACCTCTCTCCAGACGAACATCGCTTCCGCCTTTGCCTTCTCTCGGGAAGCTATTCTGTCTTTCAAAGAGAATGATATTGAGGAGGCGAATGGAAAGAGGGGGATTCTTATTTTCACTGGTGCTACGGCTAGTCTGAGAGGCAACGTTGTCACGAGCGCTTTTGCGGCTGGAAAGCACGGTTTGAGGGCGCTGTCCCAGAGTCTGGCGAAGGAGTTTGGGAAACAGAACATCCATGTCGCTCATGTGGGTTTGAAAACGCCGTTCTACTCTGTCATCTCATCTGATGATTCTTCTTAGTCTATCATCGACGGAGGAATCTTGGTGGATAGATCACGCGCGCAGAAAGGCCCTGAATGGGAAGCTAACGAAGACGTCCGATTGAGCCCAGATAGCATCGCAAATGTGTGTTCAACTCGTTCTCTAGATGGTTCCTGCTCATTCGTTTTTCCAGTCATACTGGTATCTCACCAGCCAGGATCGGTCTGCTTGGACGTGGGAGCTTGACCGTGAGTATGCTTCCAGTAATGAGGGATAAGGAGCTGATGGTACACGCTCTCTAGTTCGACCCGCTCATGAGAAATGGTAGGGCGTATGTGGAAGATACCATGACATATTGGAACCACGAACAGCGTACCAAGCTTCAAAGTGCTATTCGGTGGATGGTCAATGATTCGTTAATATGTTTCAAATTTCAGTTCGAGTTTTCTGTTGTAGATGTAACAATACTGTTCTATTGCGATGATCGACAATATGCTTAGTATCGAGTCCACGATGAAGGATGCAGGGGTTGTTAACATTTGGTTCAACATATAGAGGTCGTGGCTTGCCTCGATAACAGCCAGTGGTTCAGCTGCTGGTGGCCAGAAAATCTGCGGTGACAGAGTTTGCCTTCGACGAAGCCCATCACAACCATGACAGAGAGCGATGTGTACGAAGGATACTCATTCTCAATATGTGCGCGATATGGTCCTACGTTGCGATCAAGTGCCACTGAAGGGCAGAAGAGCCGACACCCACACCTTGACCTGCGCTCTAAGTGTCATGTCTCATTAGAATAAGGAAGCACTGTCTTCAGCAACAAAAGGAACAGGTGGCAAGAACATCTGCTCCAACATCTGCAAGTCATGGTTGATCTCCATGTTAGCCAATGGTGCAACACCCATCGGCCAAAGAACCTCTGGAGAAATTAGGCAAGGGTACTTAGCTTGCCCTTCCTCTCCTGCCCAGTCAAAATCGATGAATTTGACTTCATTCCCCTGTAAGAGTGCATAGTCCATTGGTGTAATCATGACATTCGGTGCACGGAGATCACCAAACACCAATCCATGCCCATGCAGCAGTTTAAGCGCACGCTCGATTTCCGACCGCACCACTTCTGCAGTCTCTCCACTCATTTCCGACTTGTCCAAAGTGTCGCCCCTGACAAACTCCATGACGACCATGGAGATCGAGTTGTATGAGGGGTCCTTGTCCTGAAGGTGTGGTGATCCGCAATATAAAAGCTCCGGTGCTAAACCCTTGTCTGCCAATAGGCGATGTGCCCTTTCCCCGTATCGGTCGACAAATTTGACAACGACATCTCGTGGTGGGACAGTAAGCGTCCGTGCGCGGAGCGTCATACAATCCGGTCCGTCTTCCAAAAAGGCGAGGTACTTGAAATGTATGCACTCATTGCCGTTAGGGTAGGTGGTTATCGAGGGGAAATAGCGCGTCTCGGAAATCCAATTGTGCGTCTGTACCGTCCCGTAATAGGATTTGAGGTTGGCTAAACCTTTGTTCAAAGCATGAAAAGTTCTAGCGATGCGCAAAGTGCGAGACTCGTATAAAGTGGAGTCTAACCCAGCCCAGACGTAGTCGGTCAAATGCTGGACAATAAAGCCATCTGTGAAGACGGCACCGAGAATGGCGATCGATGGACCAGAGGTCGCTACGATGAATGTCGGGCAGTTGGTGGCATTTCGAAGCTTTGTGGACTGAAGAATGAATGCATAGATATAAAAAACACAAACAATGACTGGTGAAAATTGTATACCTTCTCTTGAGCCCATGAATAGGCCATAGACAGGCCAGCGTGTTTAGCTTGATCGAAAACGCTCCGTCCAGATCCCGTTGTCCCTTGATGCAAAATTATCAGATATCCCGCCTCCGGGGTCCTTGCTAGAATCGTGCCGTCGGTAATAATTTCGTCACCGTCGACAGTCGTTTGCGTTTCGACGCCAAGAATCTCACAAAGAACCGTGGTCAACCCGTGGCGGCATTTTTCCTCGCTGATATAGATTGCCGACGCCGCTTGCATATACTTTGTGGTTTTTCGAATCATGTCGTTCGAAATGAGGTCGGTACCATTGATATCATCCAAGAAATGCCCAAAAACCGGATGAAACAATTGAAGTGGAGGTGCCATGTTCGTTTTCGGTTTCTTTTCTTGGTAGCGGCCATCATAGATACAGTCAGCAAGCTGGGTTTTTGTGTATGCAGATGAAATGTCTGAGGAAGACAGAGAAATACGCGATACGACCTTCTCAAACCCTGTGAAATGGTGTTTCACTATCAACCATGGTCAAGGGAACGAAAACATGGGCACACTCTTTTGCAAGCTACTGATCCGACCTCTCCCGTGCTCTTTCTTTTCATCTTCGGGGAGATTGTCGTCCAAGAGACATGTGTGAGATGCAAGGTATGTGACAGAGGGCAGAGACGAGCTCACCGTCAATTGGCACCTGGATGACGACTTGCAATTCTAGTTCGTCTTTTTTGACACGGGGGAACAACTGCGACAATCGTTCCAAGGGTAAAATGCGCTGTCCAACTCCAAGGTCGATGGCCTGAAACCTTCCGTCGCGAACGTTGGGATCTCGGAAAATAGAGACTTTGAAAAGCGCGAGCTCGTAAACATAGAATTCATCAAACAGGGGTTCCTGCGCTGCCTGGACAGCTTGTTGAAGAAAACTGACATTATCTCGGAAATCGATGTCAATTGAAAAAACCTTGGTCCAGTCTACTTCTCCAGCCTCCACTTGTGCGCAGGAAAGGTGTAGGGTACCAGGCGCGATTACGACAATATGAAGGCAGTTATCCGATGGAGCAAGGGCCGATATTTTAAGGAGTGAAAACAACGTCGGACAGGAATCGAGATCCAGAAGCGGCAGTTTTGGTTCAGCGTCGTCAAGGCTAATGTTGACCCACAGCAGTTCTAGCTTGGTGCTTTTCACATCAGCAATTTCTGCTCTCGTTTCCGTCAATCTCTGTCTGAGCAGGTCAACATCCGCAGTATCGGGAACAGAAATGTCAAAGGCGTGGTCGAGGCCGTAGCCAAGGATCAGGCAATAGAGTGAAATTTCCATCGTGAACGTTTGAGCTTGTGAGCTTTTTGAAACCGGTTTTTGATGGCTGACAAATTGGAGATAGGCTGCAGCCCCAAGCTCTATTAATAACTCAGCAACTGGTCGTGGTTTAGAAATTTCGACTCACGCCTTTTGCAAAACTTTACTACTTCAGAGAATACTAGTTAGAGAGCAGTTCACATTAGGATTATTTTTTCAATCGTACAGTCATTCATCAATCAATGATACAAAGTTTCGTAGTTTCTCTCCTCCCCATCCCATGTCCATCCCCCAGATACTCTTGTAGCCAGCTGTATAACATGCCTGCCAGATCGAGCCCACATCATTTTCCAGGGGCGACATAGTCTTTGGACAGGTCGATCCCCTTCAAATGTGTATTTGTGATCCGTGCTTGACGTTGGCGTGGCGCACCACCACGTTTGCCCTTCTTCTTCGTGTTCGGAGCTTTGGGGGCAATAGCTTCTGCAGCGGTAACCTGCAGACCCTCTACAGACAATTGAGTGTGGTCACAAATAGTGAAAGCAGAAAACGCACCGTGTGCCAACTGTTTTGACAAATCTGCTCCGGTTGGCACCTTCAACTCGTGCCACAGATCGAGGAACTCTGCTTAAGTATCAGCCGTCGTTTATGGAGGGCCTTGTCTCCTGCCATCCCCTCTCATCTCCGAGAAAGAAAAAATTCACGCACCTTTTTCAACTTGCATACCACCCGCTTCCTCTGTCGGCTTTATCTCATTCCAGAACACCATTCGCAGCTGCCCATCTTTGACTGTCCGTGTGACCAGCACTTCTCCCTCTTTCTCCAACTCCTCGACCGCCGCTGGTGCCTCCTTCCATGACTCTTTGAGCGCTCGAACAGATATACCGCTGCCTTTCCGAGTTTGTCTTTGTATCTCGACAAGAAGCGCTGCTTTGTTCCGGAAATTGTATTCGTGCTTGACAAATAAATTGGTGACTGTTCCAATGATAAAGTCATCTTAAAAGTCTTACCTTGTAGGAGAAAAGACCAGTCTTAGGGTCTACTTGTACTCTATCATGAGACTTCAACTTCTCGCGCAACACCATGTCGACATCCACGGGCGTTTGGGTATAAATTGCAAGATCTTCCACCCGTAGTGGATTTGGTGTTCCCTATGATCCAGATAATCAGAAGCTATGACAATGCTAGAGCGTTTTCATACCCTGAGGTAATCCACGAGATACACCAGCTGCGTGTTCACATTCGTGCCAGTCCCCGTATCCGCTGGCTGAGAGTACACAATATCTGGGAGTCATATAGTTGGGACCAAACAGAACAGCTCCGCAAGAGGAAAGTCATACTCGATTTTGGTCTCTTCTTCTTACCCTCAGACGGTGAAGCTGGCTCAATTGAGGCTGAAGCTGAAGCCGCTGGTGATGCTGCCGAGCTTGTTGGATGAGAGTCTAGTGGTCGAGGTTTGGAGTGCCATGAACTGTAATCCTGTCGGTGTAAGGCGGACTTGAAGGCAGCGGCATCCTTTTGGAGTTTGGACATGGCGAACGATGTCAAGACAGTCAAGAGACGTTCGTGACTGAAGTCACCAGTCACCTGACTGACATGAGCTCACAATGTGACTCACAACATCTTATCTTATCTGCAAATTTATGTATCAACGATTCAAGAAATCTAATCCCACGTAAGATCCAGACTCAACCGACTGTTCAAAGCCTGCAGTCTTTCACTCAATCTTTTGAGGTCTTCGACAGTCGGACGCCCCGGATCCTTTGTGTTTTTACCAGCAGTCAGTTTGGCAAGTAGATCTTCGATGCCTTCCATCTCTCTCTTTTCGGCCATCTCTTCTCCAACCTCCATTCCGTGATCATCGTTCGCTTCCATGTGCTGACGTGCATGTTCTTCAGCCTCTAAATCGCGTGGTGCAACATCGGAAAAACGAAGATTGGCCAGTTGGCCCGCGATATTTCGCGCTTCAGCAGCTGACGACTCATCCTGCCCAGATCCGCTAGAATTGACCATTGCGAGAATGGCTGCTGATATCCCTCGCAATCTGCCAATTTCCCGCCCAATGGGAGCACCGGTATCCGCAAATCCAGCGTCGAAACCTTCTTGTAACGCGGATTCTTTGCCTGCTGTTATGCCCTCTCGGTATCCTGCCTTCCAAAAAATTTGTCAAGTTGATAGTTCACCCAAACTTGGGAACTCACATTTGTGAAATCAGACGATATTTTTGACCACTCTGCGTCTCGAAATGCGCCATGATCTGGGTCTTCTTCCCATGGCGAGTCCATGTGTAGAGGCTAGTTCGACCTAGTTCGATTTGAAAGTGAACTCGAATCCAATCTAATCTATCATTACATAAGCCATATAAATCGTTTATTTGGCGGCATGTTGCACAAGTCAACTTTTTCCCTCAATGAGTTCACGCTCCTCCCCCCCAACAAAAAGGGTGAAACTCGAAGACTTGTCTCCAGCAGCTGAAATATCTGGTCTTGGTTCCAAACTTGGGCTTGAAGAAGCTGTTGGCATTTCAGACGACGAGCCTGAGGCTGATGAGTCAGACGATAATTGTAGCATTTGTCTGCATAGTGTTGTAGACCGCACGGTGGTACCAAAATGCTCTCATGAATTTTGTTTTGAATGTCTTTTAGTTTGGACGGGTAAGTCACACACCCGCTCTTTTTATAATTCACACAAACCCTTTACTTCAACAGAGCAATCTCGACGCTGCCCTCTTTGCTCTCAGCCCATCGGAGAATATCTGATTCACAGCATCAGGTCTCGCTATGACTATCGAAAACACTTCCTTACCCCCTTACGTACTTCGCCCGCTCCAATTGTTTCGTCTCAACGGAACGAGACGTTGATAGACGCACGACGCAACGCTCGGAGAAGACAAAGGGAGCGTGAGTGGAGCCGGAGAGACGGAGATGAAAGGGAGCAAGCTGATAAGCTGGAGGTCTCCATTATGAAACGCAGATGGATTTACCAGCACGACCTATACGCAAAGGTGAGTCTTCCCGTAATGTTTCGCCGTTCAGTATGGTTCTGATTGACTTTTCCATGCGAAAGCATGTCGCGTCTAATTCTTACACGAAGTATCGTCCCTACCCCACACCTTCCCAATTTTCCTCCTCCCCGGATCTCATCTCACGAACGACCACGTTTTTCAGGCGCGAATTGCAAGTGTGGGAGGGACTGGATGTGGAGGTGTGTCTGACGTACTTCATTCAGCATTATGCTTTGTATCGCGCTAAACGTGTCTCAAGTTTTTGACCACACTCATCATTTCGTTAATGAAATCCATTGACATTCGATCTGAGTCAGCAGTGAAGCTACTGTCAGAATTTCTCGACATGGATGCGCCATATGTGCCAGGCGGAAGACATGCGAACGCCGAGCATTTTGCTCATGGTCAGCTGGCTCCTATCCGTTCATTCAGAGTTCATACTAATGTGACGATCAGAGGTCTATTGCTATGTTCGATCCCCATACCGGGATCTGTTCGTGTATGATACAATTGTACAGGTAAGGGTTTCATTCATATTTCCTAATGAGCGTGGTCTGACGATAACATGAAGTATGACGCCTCAACAGGGATACCTGCGCCGCCAGAGATAAGACGGTCACGCCGATGGCGTCAATCGCACCGTTCACGCTCTCCTAGTCCGACTCGCCAAATGATCCATTCCGCTTCGCCAGTCAGAGAAACGCAACATAGAAGTAGATCGAAATCAAGGACGAGAGATAGGTCTCTATCATGGTCACCATCAGGAAGGAGGTATCCAAGCACCACTAGTGCCCATAATGAATTGTTGGCCAAAAGCCCTGCATCCCGCAATCGGAGTCCCTCTGATCCTCGTCAAAGAAGGATGCATCACTCTCAAAGGGCCGGAGAAAGGATTTCCGTTGTTGATAGACCGTCTTTTGGCGAAAAGGCAATCACTCATGTTGAACGGCATATGATTTCCGCGTCGGAGAGAACACCAACGCCACTCATCCCTGATAACGACATACGAAGCTGTGGTACCAATAATGGAAAGGGGAAGCGCAGAGCCGACGACGGCGACATTTCTCTTCCTCTGAACCCACGTCCAGGCACGACAGAAAAATCTAGTGAACCTCAATCAGAACCGCTTACTGCAACGCATGAACCAAGGGGACGCAATGAGTCCAAGGGTCAGGATTGTGGATCCAGGGTAGGAAGGACACCCCGTAACCGCAACCTTCGTGAGTCTGTGCAGGCACACCTGGCTGGAACAATACGACGAAGACAATCTCTTTCCAGTAAGGTCTCTGGAACCAGGGAAACACTCGGACAAAGCCGCCAGCCTCTCATTCCCACTTTGACAGATTCAAGCAATCTCAATCAGGAACCCGACGGGCATGCTTGTTTCCGCGAAAACGATGTAGGATATTGAAAGCTGCATCAGATTCTATTTTTGTTCACCCTACCATTCTCCAGAACAAAAGCAACACTATCGATTGCCTAACCATCGCTTCTAGCTCCTCCGTCCCTGGCATTCACTCATGGGAAACGGCAGGTCAACCGCGATCACCGCTGTCTAACCCTCTTCAAGAATCATCCCGACTGGCTGAAATAATTAAACAACATACGAACTCCCATGCGCCACCGCCACCATTTAACGAAGGGCTCGTGAAACTTGACGCTAATTTCTCGGACGTGAGTTCACGATCACCAACACAATTAACCAGCCAACTTGAACACCCTTCGCCAAGTCCTCTTCCCACCCATCAAATCCCAAAAAGCGTCGACACCCACGTGTATAATAACCTTAATAAGCGCCTTGCCCAACCTGCGCCAACTTCAGCTTCCCATCCTTCCGATTCGCATCTTGCCTTATCCACTGGTTCACAGGCTGGGCAGTCGAAGCTGCTGGCCCGCTTAGACAACGAAAAGCTAGAGGCATGGAGTGCGAGTAAGTTGAGGGGATTAGACTTGGAAGGCCCACCGCCAAGTGTTGACATCGTATCCAAGACCGCCCCATCATCTACAGCTGCGACTCGACAATCAGGTTATCGCCACGACAATGTACAAGAGGTTCTAGACTCGGAAACCGACATCATGGCGCCTGAATCAAGTGCAAAAGAAGCAGCCTTGAGGTTGCGCGCCCGCTTACATGCTCGACTTGTCACAGAAAGGCGAAAGGGTGGATATCTGAATTCCTAAATCGGATATGTTGTGACGGATTTGGAATTCCGCATAAATCACAGAGTCACCGTCGCATCTCGTTACGTACCAAATACGATGTTTGTCCTAACCCTTCTTGGATGTCGAGAAGATGACAATAACCGATTCCATTGGATGGTGGACGATAGGGATATAACTGTGTGAGATACAATGGTTGTATGGAGACACCAGACTAAATTAGTACCAAAATACAGAATTGAACAATCATCATCATGAAGAACATGAGTATTGGGGTACACTGCTGACCAGAAAATGTGTGTCTGGTCGCTGGGATACCGCAAAGTGAGAAAAATTCTGTCAGCATAATTATAAGAGTGATATGATGCAAAGGTATATCGACGACGATTAAGATTGACTGATGGAAAGCAAGGCGTAGGTCGCAGCGTTAGAACGCATGAGACTTGAGAACCGTGATTGATTTCGTGATTAGCATGAAATGAGAGGAGTAGATGCGCCATGAATGATATTAGTACTGAAGAGAATCAGAGAGCCTCACGAGTTTGTTCGCTATCAGAACGATCGTCGCCCTGCTGAGAGGGAGATAACTCTGGAGATGCCGTGGGTGTTGTAAAAGGAACGAATATGGAACGAACAGGATCGTAGCGGCCAGAACGTAGAGGTGGTAATGGTGGTAACGGCTCAGATAACGCGGGTATGAGACGTGGCGTGCGCTCAAGATTTTGAGAGGTTTCGCCTGCTTCCGCAGCGGAGGCGCCTCTGAAAAATGCGCGAGGGAAAGACAACCTTCCCACAGTCGTGCGGGAGCCTGGGCGAGACCACCCAGATGAGCTGGGTCTCGGAACGGGGGAGTATGCTGAATCATCCCAATGTGGCTGAGGTTGTAAGGTGAAGGGGGGCGGAAGGTCCAAAGATGAGCGTCTGGGTAAATCGGGAGGGTGATGGGCGAATCGAATTTCTGGAGACAAGGAGCGTCGTGGATTTAACGGAGGCATCAGTGGATTCATTCGGGGACTTGGACTTATGACGCGACGGGGTCGTGCACCAAACGCCGACGTCGCGGGTCGACTAGAAGTCAAAGGCGGTAGCGTTCGCGAAAAATCACGATCCCGCCAGCCTCTCGGCTGGGAAGTCGCTGGCCGAATAGAAGGCGGACGATGCATGTGCATGGGTGGTGAGGGAAATAAGCGGGGCGTAGCGTGGGTTGGATACATATATCCCCTTGGATGGCCTATATCCGACGTGGTCTCTGGAATAGGTGACGGTCTTACGTGGTGGTATATTCGTCGACCATAGGACGGTACAGACCCTGGAACGCCAGGGCCAAGCAAGCGAGGCGGCGTGTCTAGAGGACCCAAGTGTCCCTCTGGTGCTTGATGAGATTGCGATCTGTATCGAGCGCGATCCGCTCTGGTTTCCTCGTAATCTCGGCCGCCGTGTGTACCGGTGGTCGGAGGATATGCTCCAACTGGTGTAGGCTCCGGAGGTGTGGGGAATGGCCCATACTGTGGAGGTCGACTAGGAGGAGTTTCCCCTTGACTTCGCGGCCTTCTCGCCTTCTGCCGCTGATTCTTCGTACAAAATAAGTGAGTGGAAGGGCGCCAAAGAAAGTACAGAAAATGAATACCTGAAACCAGATCTAAATGAAATGGCGAAAAATACGTTCAAGGTCACCTTATGTATTTCTAGGTTTCAAGTAATGTGCGCACCTGCACCTTCCGCGCACTCAGTCCGATGGAACGGCCCACCTCTTCTCTCATTGCTGTAGTCGGAAAACGAGACTACAAAAGAATGAGATTAGATGCGATTTTCTTGCGCGAGTCGGCGAGAATACCTGGGCCAGAAGCGCGTGCAGTACGGCAGACTGATGGGGCGTCGTTAAGGTACGTGTTCGCTTTTTCTTGGGAGGAGACACCGACGGTGGGAGTGGCTCAGTACGCTCTCCTTTCTTGAAATCCATCTCATTGTCCGCCATTCCATCTTGAGAGTCGGAAGAAGGGCTAGATCGAGCGTCGGGCCGGGCTTTAACCTCAGGGGATTCCCTGCGGTAGCGTTTCGCCATGGGCTCTTCTAATGGACTATCAGCACGTCGAACGAGATGCGAAGAATGTCGCCTGTAGCGTGTCTCCGGAATTGAAAGGTGCGTCGATGCGGGTGGCTGGTCGTTTTCTTCGGCAGGCCAGCTGGAAGAGGTCTCGATAGGATAACGTCGTGAAGTTGAAGGTGTTGGCTTGGGCGATGGTGCAATATTAACGGCGGTGGGGTTAGTGGAGAGATTCGAGATGGGAGTGGGAGACCGGGATTTCGACATGCAAGCGGCAAACGGGATATCAAAGGAAATAATTCAAACGACTATGTCAAATGCGGACTCAACACATCGGAAATCCACTGCAGAAGGGCAGGGGGGCAGAGTAGTGGTTGCGGGAAGCCAGGGAACCTAGTGGTGAAAACACTCATGTGGGTAAGTATAGCAATAGCCGATATCTCCAGAGGATTGCAACCAAATCGCGACTAAAGTAACGTTACAGCATCCATTAAGGATAATCCAATTAGATCTTGCGTAAGGGGCGATTGACTCCCATTAATTATTTTGTCGAGGGTATGTTTCCAAATCTTGGGGCGACTCGTGACCAAGTTAATTGTGTGCAAGAGAACACGTTGCGCATTGTGTCCTATCCCCGAGCGTTGCGGTCCATAGCCACAAGTAATTTGATCCACACATTTTCTGAGCTCTGGTAGACGACGGTTGCAGGCCGAGTTGTATGTAACGCGACGTTCACTTTGGCAACGAACAAGTTTATTCACAAATTGTGTTACTCGTGACCGTGACGCAAGCTCTTTTAACGACAAAGGACGAATATGAGAGTTAAATGGAGATAGTTCTTCAGATTGCATCGGTTATCCGTTGATTACTTGTGTACATAAATTTTTGCAACTGTCCTTTCTAGCGGAGGAAGGAAGAGTGATCCGTAGAAAGACGGGAAGGAATGGGCAACTGAACGAAATGGTACCTGGGCAGAAATGGGAGCAGATGGGCTCCCAGCTCGACGTCCAGATCTAGAGGTTGATGGAAGAGGTCGTCCTAGGTCGTCTCGAAAGGATGTATTCAGGATGCTGCGTTTTGGGTCTCCGAAAATTTCTTTCCAAGTATTGGAGCAGGGTATTTGCGACCATGTGGTCTTTCCCTGGTCCGTGGTATGCGCCGTCAAGCTTTCAAGACTCAATGGAGAGGTAGCGACCATCCCGAGGACACGGCAAGGTAAAAAATGCTAATTGCTGATGATCTTAACAACGAGAAGCTTTCGACCATAATGAATCTATGAGTCTGGTGACGAGCCACCACGTCGGTCCTTGATAATCATGTGCAGAGAACACGACATTTACTGGGGGAATCTGATATGTGACTTGGTCCGTTTCTTCGTTTTCGGCGTAAATAGTGAACTGCATCTTGAAGAATAGTTTTTGACTCCAGATCTTTTCCGAAGAAAAGACTCGCCATTTGGATGCAACAAATCATTATACATTTTGTGCACGAGGCCGCCAAACTCAGACTGTAGATGCTGCGATCAATCTGGCCTGTTGATGATAAAAAGTTTGAACCCAATTTCAGTGGCTCAAACGGGAAACATACCTCTAAAAGGAACACATAAAAGGAATCTAGAGAGATCGCAGATCGAGAAGGACAAGGTGGCAAAAGCCACACGCTTGAGGTAAGACTCACATGGATCACGGAGTGTTTCGAAGTCTGAACTTCTCTGAAGAACGGCTGGGCAAATAAAATAAAGAAATATGACCTTCCTATGATGGAGAGGGTCCTCTAGGGTAGTCCAGGGTCCTCTTGAAATGGAGACCTAAGACATGTGAATTGTGAATTGAGGTCGGTATTTCGCGGTGCCTCCGGAGCGCGGAGTATAGAATCCGCTTCAGGAGATCTCAGCGTGTTTTGTGCGTTTCAGAAGACTGAAAACTCCTTCGATTAACGTGAGGATGTTTGACAAAATATGGCCATAACGCAGAGTTTATGCAGTGGCGGTGGACCCTAAAATTTTCGTTTGGTCTGATAGTAGGTAGATGCAGCTTTCATGTTGGTCGTGTAAGTTGGTCGGGTGGCTGAATTACAGACAATTGACTATCACCCCAAGCCTCCGTTAACAGTCGTTAACACGGGATCCGAGGATTCCATTATCAGAATTCATATGGAGACCATCGAGAGGTTAAATAGTCCGCGATGCGCCCAAAATTACAGCGAGGTCCCACAGTCCAGAGCGCGACCCTGTTGGTATGCCGGGGGTATTTTGCGGAAGATTTAAAGGCATAAATATCGCTCGATCGGTTGCCTGCCGTACTCCGGGTGCTTGACGATTTTTAGTTTCTTCCCACCGAGAAGTGAAGAGGAGCGCTTGAGCGGATAGATAGTCACAGGACACAGCCTGGGTTGATTGTTAGCCATTCTTGCGTGTTCGTAAGCGGTCGAGGTCTTGTTGGAATATGTAGGGAGTGATGAACAAAGTTGGCCTTTGGCTGGAGAGTCCAAAGTTCAAACGAACCAGGTTGTTTGGGCCTGGTTCAAAGTTTGGCAAGTCACGCGGACTGTTGCAAATAATCCTCTCGCACACCAATGGACGATTCGTCTTTCCGTTCTTTTTCTCCAGATTACTCTCAACCAGAATCACCGAGGACTTTATCAACCAAACCCTCAGGATCTTCCGGTATCACTCTCGTCCTTCCATCCCTGAAAAGCCTCAAAGCAAAGAAAACGACAAGACACTCTTCATTGCGACCCGCATTTCAAGATGGCGATATACAGGAGAAGAGGGCGCCGCGCCCACTCAAGTTAAAACCCCTCAAGGAAGTGTTGTCAAAATTAATTGCTCAGATCAAACGGTGCGCTGACTTCTTTCTGAACGATCTTTTGACTGACGAGGATTTTAGGAAGGACGACTATGCCTTTTTTCTGAAGCCTGTCGACGTGGCAAACGTTCCGGGCTATGCAGATCTTGTCAAGCATCCTATGGACTTTGGCACTATGACAGACAAGGTCAATAGGGCCAAGTATCGTTCACTGGAAGATTTTGCGGTGAGCAATGGTGCTATATCTTCATTGGCTTAACAAACTAATTAAGGACTCAGTCAGATCTCCGACTTGTGACAACAAACGCCAAGATATTTAATCCTCCTGGAACGATCTATCACACCGAAGCTGAAAGGATCGAAGCATGGGGACTTGAACACATTGCCAAGGCTTCATTAACTGTGATTCAATACGAGACGGATTGGAACATAGAAATTGAAAAAGACGATGAAGTCAACATCGACGACGAGGAGGATGACGGCTTTGCCGCGACTCCCATGGACATGGATGATCAGAACATGAGGAGATCAGCATCTGTTGCTTCGCAACCGCAACCAGGTCCGGGTCGTCGGGGGCCTCGAGGGCCGTATAGGCGACAGCCAAACACTAACTTAACCACCTTTTCTGAGTCCCTAGATGCTGATGGACATCTTCCTGGTTCGAAGGATGGCATCGGAGCATTTCCACCTGGTTCAGGTTTGGCGAAGACGATGATAGCCCTAAAATTGAAAGGTGTTTTGTTTTCTGCCAAAAATAAGAAAAGAAATTCACACTCAAACAGGGAAACGTTACCGGACGAAGAGGGAAAGACAGCGCTTCGAGAGGGACGGACCTCCGCTTCACCCAGATGGGAGCGTGAATTATACTCAAAGTATGCCGGCTACATCTATCGGTCTCCAACATCTCCTGACGTGATATGTATGACAGTGGAAGATCCATTTTCTATTCTTTCGGTATTAGTTCGGGACCTACCCTCTCGGCCACAGTTGACCCCTTTATACCCTCCCGTGAATCCTGTTACTCAAGTCCCTAACTCTATTTCCGCTCCCCAACCTCAACCTCCACTGAACTACGTGGGAGCCACTAGCGTAACCCCCGATTACCAACTACCCGCCCTCCCTGTGCATCCGGTAGGTCCACAGGACGGCAAGCGGCGTCATTGGTTGATCACCCGGAATGCGACGGGTCGTCAAAAAGGCAAAGAAAGAGAAGATGACCCAGAGGCCATTTTGGACATACCGTGGTGGCAGGTTCCACGCGATGCGCACGCGACTGATATGGGCTCTTTCGCATCGCTGGCTGGGGGACTAGCTGATGAGATGGTGCGCCGAGGTTTACCAGTTCACGATCACGAAGAAATGACCCTGGATCTGATACGTGACGATCTGGACTGTGAAAGCCTGGCGAAGACCTTGGAACAAAAGGAAGTGGCTAGTGGCTTAGGATTTCCTGTGTCTGGCTACTGGACCATTCAAAGGGCTTCGGAGGCAGAGGAATACATCCGTGATATCGTTTACGGCGGTGTAGATGGTTTGGCCTACGCAAGAAGTCTGGCTGAGTTTGTCGCGGGGAGCAAACCTCAAGAGGAGGTGAGCCTCTGCTGTCACGATCATTCTACCAAGCTAAATTATTCTTTGCAGGTCCTATCAGTTGCAGATGGGGGCTTGGGCATGCCACTCGCAAAATGGGTCGAGCACAACGTGATTGACGCCCTCACCGAGGGGCACCACGATCTCATCCGTGAAACAGCGCTGTTGCTCCGGGATCGCGCGAATATCGGTGATACTCTCACGAATTCCACTCATAAAATGATAGCCAAACAAATCAACGTATCATTGGATATATATCCTAAGGCTATGATAGCCCTTTCTGCGCTGCTACAGATCCAGCTGCACAAGATAGACATGGGGGCACTTATCAAAACTCCGGAAGAACTCTTTTTAAGCGAGGCGGAGTGGGTCGGAAAGGACATTAAGGAGAGGCGAGCCAAAGCAGGAATATTGCACCCCGACGCTCAGGATGCTATGGAAGTCGAGGAGCCAGAACGAACATGGGTTGGTTTAGATGCGAGCATGGCGAATGGGCAACCCGATGGTGCCAGCGACGACTACGAACTTGAAGGCCCAGAAGAACTGAACGAGGTCTTGGACTATGTTGCTGGTGTTATCCTGGAGCTTAACCAGCGTCTCGTGAAGGCGGATATAAAATCTAGAAAAGTCAAAAGTTCAGCGGCTGTAAAAAAGGAGTCGGTTGATACCCTCAACTGTGACACGGAGTCAAAGCAAGACGCGACAGAAGATCCAGTTCTCAGAAACCTGCGACTGAACCTCCTGGCTCTGGCCAAACGTGCCCCACTCGACACCATCGCCTGTTTACCCAAGGATCTGGTTCCCGAACACATCCGTCAATTTGTACCTACTCTTGCGACGTCGAGCTGAACGAAGGATGTAAGTATCATCCTTTTATCCTTTCTTTCCACTCTTATGTCGTTGTCCAGGATGTTTGGGACTTGACTACCTTGTTTGAGTCTGACGCATTCTGCGTCGCTTCGCAACTAACGCCCTCATGCCGAGGCGAGGCGTGTTTGTAGTTCGCAACTCGACAGGTGATCCTTACCTGCCAGCGATGTCGCTAGGAACGTCTGCAACCCTGCCACTTCTGCGCCTAAACCTTTTGCGCATCCATAGCATCTCGCGGTACAAGCTGTTGGCCTTTCAGGCAGCTGCGAAGCGCGCTCATGTCAAGATTAGCGTAGCGGGATGCGTCAACGTAGCCTGACGAATACATTTACCTTCGGCCCCAGGCTGTCGCATCTTCCACTGCACCACCTTCGTTGAAGTTAGAAGAGATACTCTGTTTCTAAATACACGGATTAGACGACACTGGTAAATGATGTAATAGACTACCCTAGTAGAGGAACTTGACCAACTATTTCACAATCGCTGATGACTTCTTGGTGGTTTTTTTTTCGATCGTGAATAGACTGGTTCACTCTAGCTTCTATGTGAGCACTTCAGATAGAGGTACTCATTTGTGTCAGAATTTATGTTTTTTGAGTGATAGACATCTTGTGAAGAGCCTACACTCATTTGAAGCGCAGCATGATGCATCAACGCAGCATCATCGCAATTGACACGATCATCATACTCTTCTTATCTGGGAACTTCTCTTGGCGGTGCTAAACTAGAGGGCGCCCAGGTAACTACATTAGTCAACACTACGACTCGTCGATTCGTCTCTTCATCTGCAGAAATGCCATCTATCTTCTCTGACTTGGAGGCGCAGATCAAAGGGCTGCAAAAGAATCCAACTGTTCAGCAATCGGAGCAGCTGACTTTCCTGACAGGACTTGCATCCAAAGTCCCAAAGGTCCTTGAGCATGGCCGCGCTGAGGTTATCGGTGAGTTTTTCAATCGCTCATGGTTGGGCGAGACCTCTAAGGATACCCATAGGCTTGTTGAATCCGAATCGTAAGCTGGCCGCTGGCGTAACCTATTCTGTCATGTCACCATTCAACGACCCCTACAGATCGTCATGATAATCCTGAGGAACAGGAGCAAGACAGAATTCGGGCTGAGATCAGGGCTGGACACCGATTTACGAGTTTTGCTGGTGAAAGATCCAACAACAGCATCAAGTGGCACGTCGATGGACACGATTATATGTGGGCGTTGTCAGAGATGCTGGACAACGCGAAGGAGGCCATCTTTATCATGGTGCGGATACGGTCGAAAGTTTGATCCGTGCCTATAACTCACGACCTTTGTAGGATTGGTGGCTTACTCCAGAACTATACCTCCGCCGACCTCCTGCCTACTATCCGGAGTGGAGGCTTGATCGAATTCTGCAGCGAAAGGCTAAAGATGGTGTCAAGATTCACGTTATCGTGTACAAAGAGGTTACTCAAACTATGTCCATGAGTTCCAAGCATACAAAGGTAGGCACTTTCATATATATTAGACATATCGATCTCAACAATACCGCCAGAACTATTTGGAGGAACTCCATCCCAATATAACAGCGATGCGTCATCCTGACCACATTGGGGCCAAAGGTATGGAAAACCCGCCATCCTGTGGGCTGTACTGACACCTATTTCACAGATACAGTGGAGTTCTGGTCTCATCACGAAAAGGTAACCATGCGTGGAGTTATAGATGCTTCTCGTTCATCGTGCTTTAGGTTGTGGTGGTGGATAATCACTTTGCTGCCATTGGTGGCCTCGATCTTTGCTTTGGACGCTGGGATACCCATACCCATCCTCTCGCGGACGTTCACCCAACTAATTTTTCTGCTACGCTTTTCCCCGGTCAAGACTATAACAACGCTCGCGTTATGGACTTCAAAGAGGTGTCTAATTACGCCAGCAATACGCTTTCTATCTTGGACACGGCGCGTATGCCTTGGCACGACGTGAGTTCATTCATTTTGGAATCTTCAGACATATGTGATGATCACTGTAGGTCCACATGACTATCAACGGTCCAGTGGTGCTGGACATTGCACAACACTTCATCGAGCGCTGGAATGAGGTCAAGAAACGGAAGGTACTTGATCGATCCCACCGCACTCATTTAATTAAATACGCGATGCTGACTATGAAATCATCAAGTATCGTGAAGACGAGTGCGATTTCTTTTATGATACTACCATGACATGCTTACTGAAAGACGCAAACAGAAAGTTTGTTTGGCTCGCCTTGCCCCATGAACCAGAGGCTGCACCTAACGAATGGGCTTCTCGTTAGTTCATTTTCATCTAGAAGAATTAGCCGCACTGATATCTTTTCAACAAGGTCACCCCCATCTTAATCATTGGAGTTCAGCCGGCCACAAGTATAAGCAACGCTGGCATGGCACTTTCAGAGGGGAGCAGCCACGAGACTATCCTATCCCCCATGGCCCTGGTTGCCATGCCCAGGTTGTGCGCAGCGTCTCGGATTGGTCTCATGGTGTTCTAACAGAGCACAGCATTCAAGATGCTTGTAGGTGCCTCTCAGCTCAAGCAAGAGTCTGTTCTGAACACTGTATAGATATCCAATTGATCCAAAATGCAGAGCATTTTATTTACATCGGTACGCTCATGGTCAACTTCTTTTTTTCCTCGTCTGACTATGCGTTACAGAGAATCAATTTTTGTAAGTTTTCATTGCAGCGTCATGATTGGCATCTTGACGCTTCTGCAGCATCTCCGCCACCAAAACCGGGGAACAGATTAAGAATTTGATTGCAAAAGCACTGGTGGAACGGATCCTCCGCGCTGCTAAGTATGGCAAGAAATTCAAGGCAAGCTCCCCCACTTGCCTTTACGGGTGAAACCCTCCAATTTTCATCGCGTCTGTTCAGGTCATCGTAGTTTTGCCAGAAGTGCCGGGCTTCTCGGGCGATGTCAAGGCTGAATCTTCGCTAAAGACCATCATGGCGGCGCAGTACAGGACGATAAACCGCGGCGGTAGTAGTATCTACGAACAAATTCGCAAAGAAGGTTACGATCCGTAAGTTTGCCACCATCGGCCTTTCCTTCACCTCATCAACCTTCAATTAGGATGGACTACATTCGCTTCTACCACCTTCGCGCCTACGATAGAATAAATGCCCCGATGGGTGAGTATTGTAATGGTGAAGCCTTCCGAATTACGTTAATTGCGGACAAACATAGGCTCGTTCATCAAAAAGATGGAGGACAACTCGGGAGTCAAATTCCACGAAGCCCAGGTTGCCCTTGCCCGCCAATGGGTGTCTGGAGACACCAAAACCTCCCAAAAGACTGTTACTATCAATATCTCCCAAGAGACAAAGGAGGGTATGGTTGTCACTGATAAAACCCCACCCAAGACGGAGACTGTGCCCATTCCCGAGTCTGATGAAGCTGCTAGTCAGCTCATCGCAAGGTTTGTTTGCGGTGCTCAAGGCGTGCGAGGAGACGAGGCAGTCGCCGACAACGTTACCCAGCACATGCTCACTGACACTACCAGCCTTCTTGATGAACAATGGCTTGGTACACCGGAGGAAGAACTGAATGCGTATGGCGCTCTTGTTCTGTATTAACCCTCAACTTCTGACACATTACTTTAGGTACGTGTCTGAGGTGCTTTATATTCATTCCAAGGTTATGATTGTGGACGATCGTCGGGTCATTGTATGTTTCCCTTCTGTGTCTCTTTTTAATTTTTTTGACATGACATCTTGTAGATGGGATCGGCAAATTTCAATGACCGCAGTCAGAAGGTATGGTTTGCGTGTGCCATGTCCAATTGATCAGTTCTTAGCTTTTCTTGTAGGGTGACGGCGACTCAGAGATTGCCCTCGTTGTAGAGGATTCAGACATGATCAACACGACCATGGATGGAGAGCCGTACCAAGTCGCTCGCTTCGCCGCGACATTGCGACGCCAGTTATTCAAAGGTTGGTTGATCTATGCCTGTCAGAATGTGAACTGAAATAGTGACGAATACATCTAGAACATCTTGGCCTCATCCCACCTCAAGATTGCAAACCCCGTCCCAATGTAACCCCTTTCATGCGACCAGCGCCGATCCCCAACAGCGACGAGACATGGACCTCCGAGGATCAACAGGTAGCAGACCCGATTTCGGATGCAGCTCTTCAGCTTTGGAACGACACTGCGAGGAAGAACCGGGAGATATTCACTGAAATATTCAGGCCCGTTCCCACCAATCTCGTCAGGAGCTTCAGCGCCTACGATGTACGCTTATTAGGGTTCTCATTTGCCTGTCGCTTACTGACTGAATGATCACCTGATCTAGAGCTATGTACCCAAGGTTAAGACTGGACATGTCGCTCCTGGAATGCCCTTGGATCGCGTGAAACTTCGTTTGAGTCAGGTCAAGGGTGCCCTTGTTGAATGTCCATTGGTATGCTTCTTTTTTTGACAATTTTGAGCCTCTACTGATTGTTTGAGCAGGACTTCCTCATCGACGACAAAGACTTTGTCACTGGGCCCGACTGGCTCGGCCTCAATCCAACTCTGCCCATCTATCTTTAACACCGACGGAAGGAAGAGAAATTATTGGATGACTACTCCGTTCTGGAGTTGTATTACTTGGATAATCTGTAATGTAAATACCAGGCACCTATCTATTTTTATGATCTTGATCTTCGGTGTAGTAGCTTGTTGGTATTCACTAATTGTTGCTACGTACTGTAAATCTACCGTATCATCTGTCTTTTGTAACCAGATCACTTTGTATATGTCAGCCGCCAGCTTGAAGACAGTGACAAGTTATCATTAGTAAGTGATATAGACAACAGCAGAAAGGTCAAATAATAGTATCTACTCATGCAGACGCTATGCAGCTTGTACGCGACCATAAATACAGAGGGGCAAAGAGTTTACCAGGGAAATACTGCAGGGTAACGTTAACCTGCTCAAGTGCGATGTTAAACACCCTGGAATATCTAGTACTCAGTGGGTCAGGGTAAAAAGTAGCGGGTATAAAAACAGCATGATCCCTTCCAATCGTTCACGCGATGTATAACGGTATGGCGGTCTGCTTCTCGAACGGATTGAGCGAAGATAGTGGTATATATGCGGGGGGTGACGAGCCATCACGTCAACTCATGCCCGCAGACTTCGTAAAGCTGACGCTCTCCAGCCAACTGCTCGTCATATCTACCGGTCATCTCTCCAATACTCTCTATCCAATCATCCGGCGCATAGGGGTTGAACCTCGCTTTCGTGTATTCCCAGTACTCGGGAAACCAACCACCGCTATCCCAGTCAACGATAGCAGTGATTGAACCGTCCCGTTTCACCATGATATTCCTCGGCGCAAAATCACCGTGCGTAAATTTGGTGGCATAGTGCTGGCGATGCGAATCGACAACTTTGTCTACACCTATCATATTTTCGAAGGTCTCCATTGATATGTTCCCGCGGAGCAACCGGTGGAAATCATCGTGGTTCTGAAATGGACCAAATGTCTCCATGCCAACTCGGCTCATGTCTCGCAGAGGACCGCCTATTATAGACATCACTGTCCCGTCAGTTGGAGGTTTCAAGGCGCGAAGTTGGCCGAGGTAGCCCTTGAGCTGTTCCACAACCCGGCGCTTTGTCTTATCAGACATATCATGCCAAGCGGAATGCAGCTCTGTTCCACCGACAATGTCCATGGTAATGCATGTCACGTCGTCCTGGCGCCAAACCTGTTGTACTTTGGGCACAGGGATAGAAGTATTGTTAGCTATATATCGCATGGTCTCAGCTTCTGATATGTCAATGCGACGGCCTGCTTTTAAGAATGTGTTGAGCCCAATTCTTCGTGTTCGATAGCCAATGGAGGAAGAGAAAAGAACGCGGCCAATAGTTACGCGTAAGTTGAAGAATGACGGTGGTTGGTCATCTTGAGTTTGTTCATCCTGTTTCTGGGTGCGTCTGGAGATGAGTTCGGGCTTTCTGAAGCGCAAAAAAACCCAACCTTTGAAGGGTGCATCATGATGCCCGCTATTTGCGTAGTGGGGTTTTAGCTTGCAGCACTCAGAGGCCACCGTGGATAAAGCCAAAAAGAAAGATGCTCCCGTCACAGCTGACGAGAGCGTGACGAGCGCAGGGTCTGCAGCCAAACAAACCGATGCGGATGGGTGAGCGCTTGAGTGATCGCGAACCAATCGCAAACGATCTGTTTGAAAGCACGCGCCCACAACCCACTCTTGCCAAAGAGTTCTCGCCCCACGCCTGCACGAAGAGAGCACAGCACAGCGCAGGCCGGCCGCCAGTCCCCGCTCTCTCCCGCCCTCGCGGGATGTGAACGACGCAAACGATGGACCACAACGGTCTGGCACAGGTGATAACAACGCCGCCGCGCGAGGGAGCGTCTTTACCCTGCTCGAGAGAAGCATGCGGAGGCCCGAGAGGAAGACACAAACAAGACTAAAGTTGAAAATACAAGCGTACTAAGGTAGACATTTTTTTTGGATTGCGGGCTGGCAGGCTAAGACCCGCTACTTCGTAGCGGACATAGTCAGACTTGTTGATTGCCATTCTGCACGATATCCACCATCTCCCAGGGTTATACCAAACAATTTTTTTTGGCCCTTTCCATCCGGTCTAAAATTGTGAGAATCTGTAATCATATCGTTATATGACCTGGTCAACAAGTTGTTCGCACAGCATAACATCATGGTCGAGAAGAACAAACACTGTCTTTACATCACACTCCAACATCGGGGGGAGCTGCCTGGATATCACTAGGCCCTCCTGCTCGCACCCACTCTGAGGAACGAGAGCGCCGATATCAGCGTGAAGGACAGTCACCTCTTTCAAGCAAGCAACTCCGTCAATGAATTCCATCCTCAAAAGCCGGGGACTCGTGGCGCTGCATGGCGTTATGAAAACAAGCCCGTCAATTCTCTCCGCAGTGGCAACATGATCGGGAGAATTCTCGTGGCTAAACAATCGTCCACTGTGCCGGTGCCAGATCTGGCAAAGAGAATTGATATGGTTGTGAAGGCTGTTCGTGTTGTTCAAGACGATCCCAATTGGACGTGTCGCATATGGGTGGAGGAGGCATTGGATGCTTTGCGAGCCCTTGGAGATCAGTTCGCAGTAATCCCGGAGGTAACCAATGGAGGTGCTGTGGAGAATCGCATCCTAGAGTTTGGGAAGGAGGCGATGGAAAAAATCAGAAATTCAACCAAGAACCTCCTGCATGCCAGGGACTTGCCGCACAAGGACATGCGCGTCGGTTGAGAAAGGTCTTGTTTGGTGAAAAAATTCCAGATGCCAGGGAGAGCTTTCTATTAACGACTACTTACATGTGCGTTGACGCAATACAAGCAAGGTTATTGTTGACATTGTCAAACTCTAGTTAAAAAGTGGCGCTGGAACTGTGGAATCATTGAGTATCGTGAAGACGAGCGCAATTTTTCTGTGACACTACTATGAAATGCAGATGGAAAGTATTTTTGGCTGGCCTTGCCCCACAGTGAATCAGAAGCTGCACCTAAGAACGGGCTTCTCGTTAGTTCATTTCCATTAATCAGTGTTGACATTGACCAGCCTGGTCAGACCCGGTCAGTAAAAGGGTCAGTCAATCAAGGGAGGTCAGTCAATAATCATTGGCTGACCAGGTCAATAGATTTCGTGGACTTGAAACCGATGTAGTTGTTTTCATTGTCCTATGAAGCTATGAATACATAGACCGCATCTCCCTACTCCTCCCTCCGAGCCCTAAGATCAACAACCAACTGCTCACCACAAAGAATATCCGATTCAACCCTCTTCAAAACGGGTCTTTTCATCCCCGGCTTCACCTCATCCAAATGCTTATTCCACGCCATAAACGCCCTCTCAAACATGGGAGGAATCTCCGACCCAGCGCTCCAAGACATATCCACAAAGTCCTTCAAGGTGGAGCTCTAACGGCAGGCGAGCCTATCGTCGGAGTAGGGAGTTAACAACGATAACACAATTATGTGGCCCATTGTAGTAGCTTGTTGGTATTCACTGCAGCCATTGCATCTTGATCATTGCATCCTAGAAATTGTTGCTACATGACATACTGTAAAATTACCGTATCATTTGTCTTTTGTAACCGGATGATCATTGACATGTACGCGACCAGTGCTAGGGAGGGTCGTCTTTGGAATGGACAAATACAGAGGGGCAAAGAAAATACCGCAGAATAACGTTAGCTTGCTCAAGTGCGGTGTTACATGTTACGTGTCGTATCCTGGAATAAGTATGGGCTAACACTCAGTGGGTCAGGGTAAGACCTACTAAAGTAGCGGGTATGAAAACAGCATGATATCTTCCAATCGTTCATGCGATGTATTTACGTATGGCGGTCTGCTTGTCGAACAGATTGAACGAAAAACGTGGTATATATGTGAGGGGTAACGAACCATCAAGTCAACATATGCCCGCAGACTGCGAACAGCCGACACTCTCCAGCGAACTGATCGTCATATCTACCAATCATCTCTCCAAGACTCTCTACCCAGTCATCCGGTTCATAGGGTTTGATCCTCGCTTTCGTGTATTCCCAGTACTCGGGAAACCAACCAGCACAATCCCAATCAACGATAGCATCGTACCGTCGCGTTTCACCATGATATTCCTCGGCGCAAAATCACCGTGCGTAAATTTGGTGGCATAGTGCTGGCGATGCGAATCGACAATCTTCTCAACACCTGTTATATTTTCGAACACCTCCATTGGTATGCCAGGACCTCCCCCGCGGAGAAACTGATGGAAATCATCGTGGCTTTGAAATGGACCAGATGTCTCGAGGCCAACCCGGCAGATGTCCCGTATAGGACCGCCTGTTACGGACATCACTGTGCCGTCACTTGGAGGTTTCAAGGCGCGAAGTTGGCCGAGGTAGCCCTTGAGCTGTTCTACAACCCGGCGCTTTGTCTTATCAGACATAACATGCCAAGCGCGGTGCAACTCTGTTCCACCAACAATGTCCATGGTAATGTATGTCACTTCGTCCTGTCGCCAAACGTGTTGGACTTTAGGCACAGGGTTAGAAGTGTTGTTAGCTATATACCGCAAGGTCTCGGCTTCTGTTATGTCAATGCGACGGCCAGCTTTGAGGAATGTGTTGAGCCCAATTCTTCATGTTCGAAAGCCAAGGGACGAAGCGAAAAGAACGCGACCAATAGCTACGCGCGTGTTGAAGAATGGCGGTGGCGAAGTGGTTGCAATCTCGTGAGTTTGGTCATCTTGAGTTTGGTCAACTTGTTTCTGGGTGCGTCTGGAGATGAGTTTGGGGCTACTGAAGCGCAAAAAAACCCAACCTTTGAAAGGTGCATCATGGTGACGACCGTAACTCTAAGGAAACGGTATCTATACGCCTGTAGGGCTCATCCTGGGAGATCCTGGGTCGCGGTTTCTAGTTGCCGGTTGGGGGACCTGCCGGTGGGTCGGGGGTGGGGTCTGCTCAGGTCTGCTGGTCGCTGGTCAGTCGGCTAATCGTAACAGTGGCAGTGTACAATTGTGCTATACTTGTGCCGCTTCCTCATTGGGAACGCTCCGGAATATACGAATTTATATGTAAATCCTTGCTGCCAGCAAAACTCAAGTTGAAGACAGTCGCAAGTTATCATTGAGTAAGAGACACAAACAGCAGCAGAAATTGGAATGGTCAAATAATCATGCAGACCCTATGTTAAACTAGAGGCTGACACTTAGCAGCGGCAGCAGGCACCTTGCTTGCTGACAAATACACTGCTTTGCACCAATACGATGCGACTTTTTTTTCATAACAAAGGGAACAGTGTTCAAGAGCTATAGCGCTACATAGTTATGTATATAAACATTGGAGCTGGCGCTAAGAAAGAGACGACGATATCATGTTTTGAAAAGACCAGTTGTTTGCACTGGTTTGCTCGCTCGCGTGTGCCATATGCAAGAAAAGAGCCCCATGGCCTGTAGAAAGTTTGTTTGTTCATGCTTGCCCGCTCGCGTGCGCGATATGCAAGAAAAGACCCCCATGGCCCCTGGGTAGTTTGTTTGTACCTGTTTGGTATTTATGACGTTGGGAGACCTTGACAAGCAAGGTGATCACGTGACAGCTCCGGGGAGCTCCACTATGTACATACTCTTCATTTAGCTTGAAATACCCGCTTTATAACCACACCATCCTCCAACGGTAAGCCTTTTTTTGCCAGACGCGACGTTCTCATCTCATCCTCTCTCAAGACATGGCTGCCCGAGCTCGTCAGCTTGCCATCAATCCGTTTGGAGATGCTTATCCGGACGACGACAGTACAAAGGAGATCCTGCTCCAGGCAGACGGCTTGGAAACAGCACACAACAAGGACCGCCACGTCCTCCTTCGTTAGACAAATGGGGTAGATGCCACAGAGAAACTCTTTTACTTTCAGATTATCCAACTCTCTGGCGGACCAGGCAACTACAACTTCCACACACCCCAGGTACAGTCAGAGACGTCCCAGTTGCAGAACAAGTATCATGCGCTCGGCCAGTACACCCGGGCGCGGCGCAGCGTGACCAGATCTTAGCATTAGCGCACGCCGTTCCGTTCTGCAAGAAGTCGTGCATTAACAGTTGCCGCACCTGGACGCGGCTCTTGCTTGAAGCCATGGTCAATGCCAATCTCCTCTCAGCAACTTTGTTTGAGCACCTCGATACCGACATCCTGCTCAAGAAACCTCTTCCGGAGCTCTCCGAGTCCGAGCAAGCCACAACCTAAGCCGTCGGCGTGGTCAAAGTCTTTGGAGTATATGTAAATCTTTGCCACCAAAATCATTCTACGCCAACTTGAAAGTTGAAGACAGTCGCGAGAAGTTATCATTAGTAACAGATACAGACAACAGTGGCAGAAAGGTCAAATAACAATATCTGCTGCTCACGCAGACGCTATCACTCTGAAAGGATCCGACCCCCCACCCTCCAACCCACCAAGGATCGCTTCCCTAACAGCACCAAGGTAATCCCCCAACCTCTTCCCATCCTCATTCACAAAGTCCTCGTACAGTTGATACCGCGAGTCTGCCACGATGTTCGCGAGCTGTAATGCGCGTTTGAGGTTTCTGTGCCGAAAGATGATCAGTTGCTGAGAAGAAAGAATGGGAAAAGAAACATACTCTGGTATAAAGTGCCGTGAGTCGAACAATAGGAAATGAAGGCGGATAATAAGTTCGGGTATATATATCTGACGGATCCGAATGAGATCTTTTCGTCTTTCATCGAGCTCATCTGGAATAGTTGTGAGTATAGAGCACAATGTTACACTTAACGTGACGACAACGAACCGCCCGGATTCTCAACATCAGAAACCAACCACTCCGTAGTCAAAAGTCTCGTAATTTGGTCGTGAGCTTGATCAATCAGACTCTGCAATAAAAAACCTCATTAACACCTAGCAAACATCTTCTAGACTTCACTGAAAAAACAAACCCGATAATCATCCAACCAAGTTGCCTTTGCATCCTTGTTCATCCCGGGCACATGCTGAGACTGACAATCCACCACACGTTCCACCGTTTCCCAAATGACGAAGAACTGGCGATAGTGTAGGTATTCCGTCGCTCTCTCCTCTGGTTCCGAGATTCCCGCGAGTTCGGGGGGTAGGACGTCTAAAAGGCTTTGTGCAGCTTGTACACGACCGGTGCCTGGAGGAGTGGGTTTGGGATGGACAAATGACAGAGGGGCAAAAAAAAATTACCAAGGAAATACCGCAGAATAACGTTAGCTTGCTCAAGTGCGGTGTTATACGTCGTATCCTGGAATATCGTCCACTCAATAGACCGAAGCAGGAACAGTTCAGCATCCGTTGGCGGTTGTTGCAGTGCGATAATGGATGGTAATGGTCCTTCCAGTACTGGTAGAACCTGTTCATTCCATCGTGTTTAAAAGGGGTGTAAAACGAAAAGTGGTTGACCTACGTCAAACGCCTGCTCGATCGTTCGCTCTGCAGTGACCACTGCCACGCGTGCAGGGTCAAGCCCATGATCCCTCGCTCGTGTAAGTGCCAGCCGGCGTTCGTTGATGTCCGCGGTGAGGGCAAGGGAAACGAGGAATAAGGCGTATCGCTCGATGGCGTTTTCTCCTAGGGCACTTGCGTACATTGCGATTAGATCTCGTTGTCCTGCGTCCTGAAAGCCGGATAGAGGTCATGGTATAAAATATGCGATTATGTCAAGTACACACACCTCCAAAACTTGAAGATATGATTCGAGGATAACTTGAGTTGCCAGAGGGGGTACGGGGATATCGATCATTTGGAGGAAGAGGCAGAAGTGGGCAAAGAAGCGGCACATCGACGCGTACCTGGCAGAAGCCTGGTGGATTAAAAGTCTTTCGTACCAATTGAAACCAGATACGTACTCGAACGATGACTGGGTGTAAGAACCATCTTTCAGGCCAACAGCAAAGGAGTCCAACAGCGTGTTCGTCCGATTGAGGATGATCAAAAGCTGCGAAAAGTGGAAAGCGTGATCTGCAGGTGGCCTTCACAAGTTACCGTCAGTTGCGGGAGATAGAAACCAAAGGGTAGATTCTCTTGCCCTTCAAGAACAGCTATACTCTTTAGACTGTCCAAGCTGCTTATAGCTTCCTTCTTCCACTCTTCTTCTTCAGCATCATCAAGCTCGTCGTTAACGCCCTTGTCTACAGCCTCTACGCCACCCTCCCAGAAACTACCCCCAAGCCTACTCAGTTCCTGGCTCTCCTTCTCCTCACACATTATGCTGACTTGCGCCCAAAGATGGTCTTCCCATGTTCTACAGGCCAGTTTGAGTACGTTTGAGGTTTGTGGTGAAGGTGCTAGGGCTGCATATAGTATCCGTTCTTGATCAGAGAGAGCGGGCTAAAAAGAGTGTTAAGACTGGGCAAACGATTTGAAAAAAAGAAACGCACGCTGAGAGCAGCTCTGGTACATGCGGTTTTCCAGAGATGGCGGTTTTGATTGCCTGACCAAATGTCCATGTCATCTTCGTCTTCCATCGAGTCCTCGTCGCGCGGTTCTGCAGCTGCAATGATATATTTGCGTCGAGTTTGACAGAGCGGTAGCTGAAACTCACATAATGCCCTCCACTGAAACAGAAATGAGCCACGTATGCTGGCAGCCCTCCACGGTTGGTGGGCTTTCCTACACAGCTCCACTGCATCATCGAACCTCCCTCCCCGGATATATCCATATAGGGCTTGCAGCAGATTTCTCTCATAGCTCTAAAAATATTTCGGGTCATCATCTTTCTTCTTACTGTAGCTTCAATTGAACGCACGGCATCATCAGACGCGAGGGACCGCCCTTCCTCGCGATTCGGCGCGTCCGGATCCATCTCCTTCACAAGCCCATCACGGTGTGCGTTTCCCATCCGTATTGATTGAATAACACTATGTTTTGTGAACTTCCAATAACCGGTGTTCGCTTCTGGGTGCATGGGCGCTGGAGCGGTTTCATGCAGCCATTCTCGGATAACGATGAGTTCCGAGAGGAGAGGGGATGAGTTCATGATGGCTTGCGCAAGTGTTGATGTGGGAGTATATGGATTTTCGTAGAGCAGGTCTCGTGCGGATGGGACGGAGGGTGGGTCTGTTTTTCGGGCCCTAGAGAAAGGTGAAGTGAAGGTGGAGGAACTGAGAAGGTGTACTTACGGCATCACGGCTTGGAGTAGTCCCCATGTATTTTGTTCCATGCGAAGGAGCTCGATTTCACTCTGCGACGCTCGGGAGTCTTCCAAGTCGGTAATTCTTTTAGTTCGCTGAGTGTCTGTTGTGTATATTGGGCGTAGAACTCACTGATCCCGACATAATTGGCGAAGACGAGGCGCAAAACCCGTTTCTGGATCGAGGATTGCTGCTAGGTCATCTTTCATGGACTGACATAGCGATAGAACCTCTG